GCAGTTAAAACATGAAGCTTAATCAAATAAAACACACATGCAAATCACAGGCACCTTTGACCTCTGCGTCATCGGGGACAATAGTCGTCTCAGGTGCTCCACTTGAACGCTACGCCCCCCTCCCCCCCCACTGTGCGAGGCCCCGGGCCCCCAGACGGGCCTCTGTGTGTTTTGTCTCCGCCAGTGTCCTCTGCTAATGAATGGACCTTTAATGATCTGAGAGGGCCGTTCAATTGAGTGGAAAATGTGCTGGTCCACTTGTAGTGGGAGACAAAGGCCTCAACCCGCCCAGCGGAGAGAGGAGGACTTTAGGCCGCAAACACACACACACACACACACACACGCACGTCATGCAGCTTCTCACACATGTACTGCTTGTGACATCCGAGACGCTTTTAACATCCAACATCAAATCTGAACCGTCTGTCAACTCGAGCACATTCACCACAAATACAGGAAGCTGAAGAGCGACACACGCGTGTTCAACAAAACCCCTTCCTCTTTTGTTCAAACATACATTTGCGGCATAAATAAAAAAAATAGCACCACGTGGCTTCCGGGGGGTCCGCTGCAAACAGCCGACGACAGAGGAGACGTCCTCGGCGTTTATAGGAGGTCCGGTGGCGTTTGAGTCCGTGCGCTGTGCCGACAGGAAGGAGGCTTCGCGCATCGTAAATCATAGCGACTCGCGTTACCGCGGGAGGGAGGACGAGCCGCGTGGGAGCGAGCTCGCTTCGCGTTTGCCGCTCAGATTTACTGCCGTTGCCCTGCAGATTGTGTCATTATTCAATGATCTGTCCAGCAGATTACATTAGGCCTGGTCACAGCCCCATGCATCAGCTTTACTGCCCCATACATTCACCTATTATCCAGGGTGAGGAATAGCGGGGCTGTTAATAATTGGATTAAGTGAATATAGATAGGAATATAATTACCCAATTTGTCAAAGTGGCAAAGTAGACTTTCAGAGACAATTGTGAGCCCGTGTTTCCCATCAGCTCGAGTTATTTCATGTGCAGAGAAAAGACCGGTTGTGTAAAACCAGAATGACGCGTCGCCACGTGGGGTGTTTTCTGAAAGAAAGGGACTGTTTCCTGGTAAACACTGCAGACCGGTGATGGTGTCGCCTTTTCAAGTGTCATGTTCTGAGTTAATGTGTCCTGTGGTGGTGGTGTGGGAGGAGGGGGGGGGGGGTCTTAACAAAGGTGAAGCCCCTTTGAGCAGCAGCCAATAAGGTAAAAGCTAATCACTCACCCTCTTCCACGAGGAGGAGTTTATAAACTGGAGGAATACTGAATCATTTCAGGCTTTTCTGTGCTGCAAATTGCTTCTCTATCTTGGGAATGGGAGCCCAAGGTCATCGGGCCTCTGAGGTCATCGGGCCTCCCCCCTCACGCGCTTCTTTCTTTACCTTTGACGCATAGAATTGTTTGGTTTTGGAACAGAAGCGTCTCTACGGGCAGAGAGGGGGGATTCCGTGTGCCGTGACTCCCTTTGCGATGATTAAACGCTGCTGAGGCGGCACCGTTGTGCAGCGAGTGTTTTAATTTCATCTTCATCCTTAATAAATCATTAACCCTATCACGCATTCCGATCGCTGCTAATGCGATGGTACCAGAGGGCACCAGGAGGGTTTGGAGAGGACTGACTCACATCTGAGTGCATTTCAGGAAGTTCTAGATTCCATTAAGAAGATTCACCTCATCGAAAAATATCGTAAAACACCACGGACGCTGTGAGAGGTAGTTCGGCGTGCCGTTTCGGGACAAAGGGTTTCTTTCTTTCTCGCGGAGAGTTACAAATAAGATGGACACTGCTCTGCTTTTTGAAATGAGCTTCCGTCTGAAGGAAACAAACGTTATTTTCATCTTTGCGCTCTTTGTTTTTGTCGGCCATCACCGCTTGTGGCCTACAAGTGGTCCAGGACCCCTTATGAAACCACACAGATGAGAAAAACAAGTAACATGTTACTTAATGAGCTACAGGGGGGGATTATCTTTTAGGGTGTCTTGTTTCTATGCTAAAGTAAGCTAAGCTAGGCTAAGCTAGGCTGTGACCTTATATTCTCATATGAGCTTATTTCCTAAATGCATCCCTTCACCGAAGAAGAGACAGACTAGAGGGCCCAGTATTGTCTTCAGGGCGGCCGTTTTGTCCCACTGTGTCTCTGTCTGTCTGCACGAAGGCTAAGCTGAGAAACAGGTGTCCCTGGACACGCCTTCGTCCTCGGGGGACACATTCCTACACCTAGAAACCGACTGGGGACGCGAGGAACCGCCGCGCCGCGTGCCACACGTCCACCAGACACACAGGGAACTCGCACATGTGGATGCCGACGTGCAGCAGACTCGTACGGAGACGTATCGTATGACATCGAGCCAGTTGTCCCGTGTGAGACACGGACACACAGGGTAACACATGTGGTCCAGCGGGGGCGCCGCTAATGGGAATTCCATACTGTATCAGTTCAAGTCCGAGATTTGTTTGAAATTAGTTTGTAACTTATGAAATACAAGAACTTGACACAATGTGGTGTTTTTGGAGGATGAAATAGTTTAGCGCGTAATCCCTCCCTTCACACCAGAACTAATCGGGTGATAAGCCGGCATCGGTTGTTTCCCTACAGTTGTGGACGTTTGTTGGGCGACATGTGGCCCTTTGTGTGGAAACAGCGGCCGGAGGCCAGAAAGGGAACGTTTCTGTGGTAAAGTCCCGGTTTTTCGAGGACGCGGCCGAGCAGATCGTGTTTTATTAAAGGTCATCTGAGCCCGGCGAGACTCGTGGACTTTAAAAAGACCACACTGTCCTCCCTCCACCGCCGCTCAGTACATACTGGCTTCATAGCAACGGCCGGCGCCATGGCAACGGCCGGCTCTGTCGTCGGCGTGCAGCGAGGGCTCGGTGTGAGAGCGTGCTGCGTTTCAGACGCAGCCAATGTCCCGCAAAACTGTATTCAGCATTCGTGGGACATTCAGGCTGACATCTGGCGGCTTTGAGTTCGTATTCAGTGTTTTGTATTTTTTCCAGGTTCACGAGGCGCTTCGTGGTTCTTCCGTCTTTTCCAACCGGCGCACACAGGAAGCGAGCAGAGTAACCGGAGATAAGTGGAAGCACGCTGCTGCACTCAGCCTGCACGTTTGCACTGCGACAACAGCCAGTGCATTTCCATTATCACACATTCACATCAGGAACTGCGCACAGCAGCCCATTCAGCCACCCACCGGCCCCCACCGGCCCCCACCGGCCCCCAGCGCCGCTTCAAAGGACGCCTTCAGAGTCTCTGTGGGGCCATTCGAGATGCAGGAAAAAACCCACAAAACAGCAGAAAATTTGAGCGGGAAGAATTTACAAGTCCCCCTCGAAGAGATTATGAAAAAAAACATAATGAGAAGGGGAATAAACCAGTTGTTTTTTTCTGGGATGGTTTGGTGAGGAAACCAACAGGGAGACAAATTACAAAGCGCCGTGTGCTGCGTGGGGTCAGAACGGGGGGTCGAACGGGGGGTCGACGCTTCACCCAGTATCAGCTGTCACCTGTACACGGACTCCTTCAGTCAAACAGAGGTGTGTGTGTGGGGGGGGGGGGGGGGTTTTGGGTCTAAAGCCCGGAGGGGGCAAAGGATCCAGCGCTCTCCCCCCCAAACCAAAAACGGGGTGGATTCCGGGGGCTTTAAATCGCTCTCCGCTAATATCTGTCACGTGACGAGCCGGGCCTCGATGGCTAGAAAACATGTCAGATGCCAAACGTTCCGCCCGTTAAAGCGGCAGCCCGAGATTTGACCTTTGACCGAGTTTGACCGAGCAACACAGAGTCTCAGTCAATGACGTCTGTGTGTTGCAGAGACATTGAAAACATGCGTGTTTGTGACTGTTTAGACCATCATCTTTAGCATCTGATAATAGTTAGCAGGCATTTTCTTTGCTGGTGACTGTAAATTTAAACAAAGTATTAAGTAGTAGAGGTGAAACACTGACGCTTCATCTTGCACATTGTACTTCTTCTCTGTTTTGTTGCCTACTTTCTCATTTCCTGGTAGCGAAAGGGAAGCAATAGAGTGTGGAATGTGCCCGGCGTTCTCCTCACGTGGGAGCGGAGGAGCGATTCCCGCCGGGGTGAGAGAAACTCCCGGAGCGCGAGGAGATGCAGAGCGGGAGCTCGGCTCGTCCATTAGAGGAGGTCAAGGGTGCCTCAGACAAAACGGAGAGGAGACGGAGCTGCAGCTGCTCCCCGGGCGCCACGGGGGTCCTCAGAGAGACAGGCCAAGAAAAAAGGGGGGAATTGGGGGGCGGGAAAGGATGCTTTAAAGAAACTGCTGCTTGTTCTGTGAACTCGCTAAGGGGATTAAGGGTTTAATGAATTGCCTTTTGGAAGCCACTAGTTTGACCGATAGGCAGCGGAGCGAGGGGGGGGGTCACAAGAGCGCTCATGTGAGGACGGGCCGTGCGGTGAGTTCATGAATTACATCCATGTGATATGTGCGTGTGGGGATGGAACCAGCTCGTCGGTTGGTGGTTCGAGTCCCAGGTGTCCCATGTCGAACTGAACCGGACACCTGAACACCTTAACCTTACTTGCCCCCCCGGGCAAAAATGTAATGAAAGTCGCTTTGGATGAAAGCAAATGAAAGGCAAAAAGGACCTGTAATGTTGGATGATTTTGCCCTTCTGAGAATAATAAATGTAAAATGTGCATTTGGAACTGATGTCTTTCTTCATGCTCCTACAAGGGAAATAAGATACCGCGTGTTGTGTGAGCGGAGTGTGTTAGCAGCCTTTCCTCGGTGCGGAGGGGAGGGAGGCAAAAGGCCGACACCTACAGTCCCACGGAGCGCGCGGGGAGGGGAGGAGGGGAGGAAGGGAGGAGGAGGAGGAGGGGGGAGGCAGGTCTCTGCGAGCCGCAGCCTATACCTGTCGGAGCTCATTGCGCGAGCGCCGTGCCGTGCCGGACCCACGCTGACCGCGGTGGATCTGAGGGGGGAAGCGTTTTCCAGCCGCCAACGATGTCTCCCGGACTCCTGCTGTGCGTCGCGCTGGCCGCGTGCCACGGGACGCGCACGTGCGGCGGATTTAACGTCGACGTGCGCTTCCCCGTGGTCAAAGAGGGGCAAACCGCCGGGAGCCTCTTCGGGTTCTCGGTGGCTCTGCACCAGCAGAAGGAGGGATCCGCCAAGTACCTGTGAGTCGACCCGCGCGTCTCCGACGCTTCCGGCTCCGTTTGACCGCGCACCTGCCGCGCGCCGGTTCATCCGCACCGGCGGAGCGTTTCGCGTCCACGCGCTGCGACGGAGCTTTACACGGAGCCTCGTTTTGAACGAGTTGCTGTGTTTCCACCGCGTCACGGGAACCACCTGTTCGTTCGTTGGGCACGTTGGTCTCGTTGGATGAGCGCTTTGTGGTTGGACGTGTGTTGGATGCTGGAACCTCGGTCGGACTCATTTGTATTTGCGTTGCAGCCAACGAAGCATCCAGCCGGTATCATCAGAAGTATAATAGTGTGATCATGAGCACATTTGTCCGACCAATCATCATCCCGCTTGTAAACGCAGTCCTATGGTTCAAATAATAATATATTAGGATTTACAATTTAGTCAGCTATTTTCATTTGCTTTCCTTTGTGAGAAACAGCTGAGCCAGGTGAGCACAGGCCCACCTGAGATTTGCCGTGGAGCTCAACAGCCGAAGACAAGTGGGAGACATAAAATCCCTCCGGTTTCCAGTAGACTTTGTTTCCACTCGGTGCCGTTACTTTCACACAGGACACAGGGGGGATTGTGTTGTGTTCATCGGGCTGTAACGCTTGTTGTTCGGTATTACAGACACATAAATGCTCTCGGGGAGTTTAGCGTTTGGAGCATTTGCTTCTGGTTTCCGTCCCCGTATGATGCCAGTGTTTGGAGTAGGATTTCCCTCGGCTAATTACAGCGGCCCCCTCACCCTTCCGCATCTGTGATCACACGGCGGGACCATGACTGTTATCTGTGTCCTCGCTCTGCTTTGAAGAGTGTGGCAGGAAGAAGGTTGCAAAGCCGGGCCCACGTCCTCTGTGTGTCCATTGAGTCTCGACTTTATCAGATTATCAACCCGATCGCTGCAGACGTTTCCCCCCCGTTCATTAGTTCAGAGAACGATGCCAGTGTGTCCAGTTGACATTTGATCAATGTGTGTCCCCAGAGGGGGACGGGAGGGGGTCAGTGTCCACAGACTGCAACCCAACAAGGGGACCACATGGCCGGGTTAAGAGGCTGGAGGCCCTTTGGGACGAGGAGACTGTTGAATGTCTCATTAGTCCACAGTCATTTTGGAGCTTTTAATCTGAAAATTCAAGATTCGTTTCAGTAATAAATGCAGCAAACATGCGACTAGGTTAAGTTCACATGGAAGAGTCCTTTCATATAGTGACAGTTGGATGAGAAGGTCAATGCAACTCACAAGCCACTCGGTTTAGTTTATCACAGACACGAGGTGCCTGTTTAAACACAGCGTCTCTAGTTCTGCTTTCTCAGGAACACAAAAGAAAAAAACAAAAAAACTCGTATTTAATCCACGTACTCGACTCCACAAGTTGTCTGATGTCACACAACAATGGACGTGTCCATTTTAAATGTTAGACGGGTTCTGCAGACTTCATTTGGCTGAAGGTCTAGAACCTTTGTCAGCCATGTTTTGGTTCCATCCGCCATTAACGTGACTGTGACCTTTGACTCTAAAGCAGAGTATTAATCTGCAACCAAGGTCTCTCTGTGCGGCTGCTTTTACTCTGCTTTCTTTCCATTGTGTCTTCTGGCTTCTCCTTTTTTTTTTGTCCCACGTCCGTTTCACGGCACCAGATCTTTGTCCCCTGTTTTCTCCCCGTAACTGTGTTTGAACATCTAAACAATGCCGAGGTTGGGTGTTTACACCACATCCTGGCGTGCGTGATGTTTTCAAGTCAAACAGCGTCCAGGCTAAAAGTCAACACCGAGGGGCCTCCACAGTTTGGGCAATACAGTTTTTCCTTAACCTCTGCCTATTTCGATTGATGACCTGACCAATCAGTGGGCCAGCATGGCTTCTTCTTGGGGAAGAGCTGCACCTGAATTATCTGTAAACTACCTGAGGCCAATTTCTACGTCTCCACTCCGCCCGTCTCTTTGAATCACCCATTTATTTTTCTGCTGTGAGGGTTTTTCTTTTTGTTCTCCGTTGTAGCGGGGAGGCGGGACTTGCAGTCAGCTGGCCACCCATTGGCTCTTCCCGTCCCCTGACCCCTTGGTATGCTTGGAATGTATTTCCCTTCTCTGCACAGTCACAACCTGCCAGGTTTCAGGTTGAGACAAGCCAGAACCGAGTGGTTCTGCGTGGGGACTATTGTACAACACACACAAATCCCCCAAAACGAAAAGTCCTTCTGTTCATCCTCCAGCAGACACAAAATCCTCCGTTTCTACCTGAGAGGAACATTTGAATTGGCAACATTGGCAACATTTGAACTGGCTCATTTCTGTCTGACCCCAGAAGCCCGAGGACGCGACAGTCGGCCATTTGATTTGACGTGGCCGATTCAGCTGGTCGACCCGCGGTGGGATGTTTGGTTTGAACGTGCTCAAGAACACGCTCTGCTTTCCCTCCAGCCACCTGAGGTTTAACAGAAGCAAACACCCCTGTTCTGTTGAACATTCTTGTGTTTCTAAATCCTCCTTTGTCAAATCATATGAAATGATGATTCAACTAATGACATTGTATTATGTTGATGATCTAAAAACTTTAGGATATTAATTCAGTTGGTTTCTATTCCATGTCTTTTATTCTACACGCAGGTTGTAAACTGGCTGGATTGATGGTCGATGAATCATTGACTAATTCATAGGAACAACGCTTGGGTTGGCCAGGTTGTAAAAACTCACTCGTAAAAAAGTGACCCTATTGTCCGGAGAGGAAATAAATTTATCAACAAGCTTTTAGTAAAAATGTACTGAAACTTGAAACTGCTGACAAAACAGCTCATTAGCTCAGAGGACTTATAGCTATGAGGCATTAATCATTGTTTGTTAACTAATTATGATCCATTTACAGTTACTGAACCCAATTCAAAGGGTTGCTTATTTATAAGTGGTCGCCAATGAAGCCCTTAAGCCCTGGAAATGTGCAGCGAGTCTGTGTGTAGGTTGTGATTTGTAGTTTGATTTCGAATTCTAAATATCGGAATCCCAGACAAGCCACTGCAACTGCGCAGGACCTCGCTAACGTTGAGTGCTCGTGTGTCCACAGTGACGGTTCCTACTCGTGAAGGATTTTCATGGTCTCCAATCAGTTGGTGATGGCATGGCCTGCGTTTTTGTACGAGATTTCCTGCCCTGATTTTGCTCTCCTGCCCTGCTTGTCTAAACGCCCTCAGACAACATGGAGGCGAAGCGGGTGTAGCTGGCCTCCGGGCACATGAGGGCTACCGGCAGCTAGACAATATGCTTCAGTACCTTTCCCTCTTCGTGCCGTTTGTCTTCCTTTTGAAGGGGGAAGGTCCTGACGTATAGAGTTACACTTGGTATTCATGCCGATGTCGCTGAATGTGGCAGCTCGTTGTCTGTTCTTAACAAGATATGCTGAAGATGTGGAATTAAATGTCTCCCTTTCGTGTAGTTTATTGGTAAATGAAAATACTAGAATTGAATGTTCGGTGCTACTGGTGTCTTCTGGCCATTTCTTTTCAAGCCTCAGTAGGTAAAACCGGATGTTTTTAGCAGACGGCCGCTCTGCTTTTATATAAGATGAGTGATGTCTGAGTGAAAACTACTGCACAGACACGCTAACCGCTAAAGCAGTCTGCTATCGCTGTGAGGTCGTCCACCTGTAAACACCTCCCCTCCCTCCCCTCCCTCCCCCTCTCCCGCTCCACATCCAGCCGGGGTCAAAATGTTAATGCTAATGCTGTTACTGATACGACAGGTCTCTAGTGAATTCCACACGGGCTGCATGATGACTGCTGGCGTAACAAGAAACAAGCCTGCAGGCCCAGCTGTGTGTGCTCCTTACAGTTTGCATGCACATATATGTGTGTGTGCTCCTTACAGTTTGTATGCACATATGTGTGTGTGTGTGCTCCTTACAGTTTGTATGCACATATGTGTGTGTGTGTGTGCTCCTTACAGTTTGTATGCACATATGTGTGTGTGTGTGTGTGTTCCTTACAGTTTGCATGCACATATGTTTGTATGCACATATGTGTGTGTGTGTGCTCCTTACAGTTTGCATGCACATATGTGTGTGTGTGCCCCTTACAGTTTGCATGCACATATATGTGTGTGTGCCCCTTACAGTTTGCATGCACATCTATGTGTGTGTGCCCCTTACAGTTTGCATGCACATATATGTGTGTGTGTTCCTTACAGTTTGTATGCACATACATGTGTGTGTGTTCCTTACAGTTCACATGCACATATGTGTGCTCCTTACAGTTCACATGCACATATGTGCAAGGCTCTCAAGTGGCATTGAGTGTGACAGTTACTTCTCATTTTGACCACACATTGTATTTGTCACGCAGAAAAACAAAAATTGGACTTCGCTGTGAGCCGGATTGGTTCCTCTCCTAATCCCCGTCAGCCGTAGCGCAGCGTCACTCCACGCCAAGTTTTGTTTTGAAGTTGACGGCTCTGTGTGTGTGTGTGTGTGTGTGTGTGTGTGTGTGTGTGTGCTGTCTGACACCGTGCAGCGACACCAGACTGTGTTTGTTACTCGACGACCCTGCAGACTTAAGCCAAAATAACATTTGCATCGTCAAACAAGGTTTTACTCGTTGCCAATGAAGAGCGAGTTAGTTTATTATCAGGGGGATGACCTGCCATGTTTAATCTGCCACGCAGGGTCCAAATGAGTTTGCTCTCTTGTCACTGTTCCACCTGGTGGTCTTCAAAACAGGATGTTTGTCCAGCTGTGTGTGTGTGTGTGTGTGTGTGTGGCTGATATTTCATTTTATTCAGCACTGTTCAATTGTTTCTATTTTTAACAACCGTAATGAATGCATTTTATTTCATTTTCATTAAATGAGCATTACGCACAACGATGCCAGGATTTCATTTCCTTTTTCCAATTGCTGTGCAGCCTGCGTCTTTATTTAAAAGACGGCAGCAACGCTGCATGAATGTCATCATTACTTTCCCCTTCAGCTGAATGGATTGTTACATTCACGCAGGGCTGAGAAAGCCCCGCCGCCCTTCACCTCGATGTGAACTCATGAGCTCACAGGCGTGGGACTGAAAAACAAAGGCTTTCAAGGCTTTTAGCAAACAGATGAAAATGGGTCCGTATTCAGACTCCACAGGTGGACTCCTGCTTTTGTGAAATCACAATTCGTGGTTCACTTCGCTTCGTCTACACTGACCTACTTTCACTCTTTGCCTGTTTAATGATTTTCCTCCCACTGACCGTTAGGATTTGCCTTCATATAAGTTCCTTGTTTTTCACCAATAAAGACTTTGACTGTGAGGTCAGTTTGACCCTTTTTCCGCTCGCGGCAGGTCGGTGACTCACCTGTTGGCCGTGGCGTGTACCTGCAGACGCACGTGCCGCTAACAGCTAGGCGTGCTCACGGTGAATAAATTCTCATGGCAATGTGCGCGCTCGCCCCCACCTACACCTTCCTCAAAGAAAAGAAGAACTTCTTTGTCATAATGGAATTCTAGTGAAACCACTGACACGCACGCTCAATGCGTATTTCCCCTTTTATCACAGTGCTGGTGGACCACGATGTAACCACGTCTCTCGACCTCCAGTGCAGCACTTACTTGGTAATAGAGAGTTCAGTCCTCTTGTCATCTTCCCTAATTTAATCTGCCAACATAATTGCGGCATTCGATATAATCTCCACTTGTTTGCTCGGTGGAGTGGATATGAATCAACTGAAGCGCACCAGCTCCATGGCGTCCTAAACACATCGAGGGTGCAGCACGTGTGTGTGATTGAGTATCTGCTTGAATGGATTATGGATTAAGGGTGAGGATTAATAGCATTTAGTGCGTCGTTTCCTTGCTCGTTGTACCGGGCCTGTAGAGCATTTTGTGAAGATGAAGTAAAATATGTATCGGCAGCTCTTGAAGTCGCTGCGTGGCTGATGCAGAGGAGCAGGGCCCCGAGGGGCTCCAACACCAGTCTGAGGCTTTGTTCTTTTCTTTGCCCGGCGGGCCGCACCTTTGTGAGCCTTATCTGCACCGGTGATCCGTCGCTTGTGCAACGCTGACGTTCTTCAACGAGCTCGCAGCCCGTCGTACTTCTTGGTCTCCCTGTCAACCACTTTCTCTCTCTCGCTCCTTTTAATCATTTATGCTGCTTGGCATTAACGGCTCCGGGGCAACCGGGGGCCCTAAATGTCGGCTTGAAAGACCTTTTGTGCCAGTGTTCCGCCCGTATTGTCTCCTCGCCCTGCGGTTCGGAGTCCAAATGGGACGTTTCTGCTCCTGTGTGAACGCAGCTGACTGCACGTTGTCTCTTGTCTACCTACTGTTTTGTTCCTTGGATTCAGGGCTGTGGATGTTACTCTGAGTCGGGAGCCACCGGGGGAGGAAAGAAGGGGGAGGGGGGGGTGGGGTGGCTGGGAGACTTGGGCTTAGTTTTAATAACACCAGTGTGTTGAGTGTCGTATAGACAGATGTGTGTTTACCAAACTGACAAGGCCTCAGCGTGTTTTCTCTTTTCCGCCTCCCCCTCCCTTCCGTCACTCCCTCGCTTGTTCCTCACCTCCTCCCCCTCCTTTGCTTTTGCTGCTGTCAGGAGCTGAGGTGGACGCTGGTGATTGAGACGTCCTAACAAATCGACCCTCTCTTTGTTTAACGGAACACCACTGATGTGAACGCACGGCAGTTTGTCTCCTGTCTTCTGCGAATTTCTGTAGGTGTAAAAAATGCCGCCAGCGCTCACTTGGGCGGGGTGTGTTTGGTTTAGTCATCAGCGAGGCAGAGGGGCGAATTTTAACATGTCCTCACAGTAGGAATGTAGCTCCGGGTTGACCCCCCCCCCCCCTTCGCCCTTTGTCAGCCTATTTATGAGAAGGTGATGAGCAGGGAGGGAGACATGAGGAGGGCAGGTAGGACGCATGAGGAGGGCAGGTAGGACGCATGAGGAGGGCAGGTAGGACGCATGAGGAGGGCATGAGGAGGGGAAGCATGAGGAGGGCATGTAGGAGGCATGAGGAGGCCACGTACGAGGCATGAGGAGGGAAGGCATGAGGAGGGCACGTAGGAGACATGAGGAGGGCACGTAGGACACATGAGGAGGGGAAGCATGAGGAGGGCATGTAGGAGGCTTGAGGAGGCCACGTACGAGGCATGAGGAGGGAAGGCATGAGGAGGGCACGTAGGAGGCATGAGGAGGGAAGGCATGAGGAGGGCACGTAGGAGACATGAGGAGGGAAGGCATGAGGAGGGCACGTAGGAGACATGAGGAGGGCACGTAGGAGACATGAGCAGGGCACGTAGGAGGCATGAGGAGGGAAGGCATGAGGAGGGCACGTAGGAGGCATGGAGGGAGCACATAGGAGACATGAGGAGGGCACGTAGGAGACATGAGGAGGCCACGTAGGAGGCATGGAGGGGGGACGTAGGAGGCATGAGGAGGCCACGTAGGAGGCATGGAGGGGGGACGTAGGAGGCATGAGGAGGCCACGTAGGAGGCATGGAGGGGGCACACAGGAGGCATGAGGCAGATTTAACTGACCCTAGCTATCTGTTTCCCTCTGTTTCTAGTCACTGTGCTAAGCTAAGCTAATAGTTAGCTTAGCTTCAGCTTATATTTACTTGACCTTTATGAAAATACCCCCTCCTAGTTTTGGAGGTGTGTCTTGTGAATTCAGTGTTGAACAAACACCGGTGACCCACATGGCTCTGGCGGGTGAGACGGCGTATGTGTGTGTGTGTGTGTGTTCATGAGATCTAACCGCTGAAACAACCACGGCTCAGATTTGACAAATCTCCCACGAGCGCGTGAGATTAGCGCTGGACTCTGTGCCTCAATTGTTCCTATTGTCTTCAACACTTTCCCTCCAATAAGGGTCCTACAACCTCGTCTCGTATTCTCTGGGTTCAACCCCGTTTCTTACTTCTTTCTTCTGACCTGCGTCGGATATCCTGCTTAGAATGACTTGACCTTATAAACGAGCCCCGGCGCCCTTTAGAGCTCCAGGATGTTTTAGGTGACTTCTGATTTAAAGGCATCAGGTCGTGTATTCAGGAGGAACATGCACCTACTTGCTCACATGTTCTGTTGTTTGCACACACACACACACACACACACACACACACACCCACATGCATGCAAAGGGGTTAACAAACTCGCAGGGGGACGCTGTAGAGAGCAGGAGTGATCGTACCATTCTCTCTGCAACAAAGGCTGCAACATGCAAATGTTGGTCAAGTTTCCAATCGGTTATTGGGTAACGCAATCTGAAACCAGCGGTGGGGAGAAACTCACATGACTGACTCGCGTCCGGTTGAGGTGACACATCAAAGAGAACATGTTTGCGTCTGGGGAGGTTGTCGTGATAAGCTCGAGTGTTTCCGGGGGCTATTTTGTGTGGCTGGCTATACGGGAGGATGTGGTGCAACGTGCGAGCAGCTCCACCTCCGAAGCACAACGGCCGCAGCCGCCAAGCCGCGTCTTTAAGTCCTCGGCCCTCGTCTTCATCGGCACCGACTCCCCGGTGTTCCCTCGCCACTTTCCACCGTTCGCCCCCGTCAGCCTTCTGCTGCTGAGGAAGTTTGCATGAAAGGAACACGGCTCGCGTGGCCGCGTGCTTTTGTTTCCCAGGCCATCTGTCACACGCACTGTAAACAACATGGTTGACGTCCCCCCCCCCCCGTCCTCAAAGTGGGGCTAATAAATCTTGTGCTGACAGTAAATAGTGTGTCAAATCGCAGAGTAATCCCTCTGCTTCAAAGTTGTGTGTTAAAAGGTGCTGAAGCAGGGGGTGTCTGGGGCGACCGGACAGATCCCGTCCATCACCGATAAGCTAGTGTGTGTGTGTGTGTGTGTGTGTGTGTGTGTGTGTGTGTGTGTGTGTGTGTGTGTGTGTGTGTGTGTGTGTGTGTGTGTGTGTGTGTGTGTGTGTGTGTGTGTGTGTGGTCAGGGTCACGCTCTGAACGCTCACCTCCTTCCACTGTTAGTTCATGGGTCACGTGAACCGGCTCACGCTGTGTGTGTGTGTTTGTGTGCGTACTACTACGTCCAAAGGTCTGATGATCTGCGTCTGTCTCCCTGTCCAGGCTCCTTGCAGGAGCCCCCAAGGAGAAAGCGGAATCCCTGCAAAATGTCAACGAAACGGGCGCCGTGTACTCCTGTCCCGTTACGACGGACCGGTCCGACTGCTCCAGAATGGACCTGGTCAGCACAAGTAAGCGTGACGCGGAGCCCCCCGGGATGTGACTCACCGTTCTGGGTCCAGTGTTCAGGAAGTTTAATGTTCACCATGTTCCTCTCTGTCGACGCACCTTTCAAACCACTCGCCCGCAGTTTGTCATCCAGGCTTTCTGTTTATTAATAATTGATCCCTTAAACCAACACAAAATAAGTGTGATGACATCATCATGGGTCCTTCAAAGCTTCCTTCAGGCCAAGTCTTTTCGGAGGCACTGAGCTGTAGATATCAGCCCCCTTTAAATAATCTCAGGGTTCAAAATTTAGCATCCTCAATAATTTACAAGCTCCAGGATACGTCCCTCTGAAAGCACATGTTTTCTTAATCGAAGGTTATTAACTGAACTGAACAGACTTACTGCTCTATTACCCCCCCCCCCCTCCCCTCCAGAGGCTACAAGTAAGAACAGTGATAAAAGGGTTTCTCAACACTCGTGATGTTTAGCCTGAGTGACTGCAGCTGTAGTCACTGCACATTTTTGTGGTTGATGTTTGTCTGGGCTTGTTGGGTTTAATGCAACTATATGAGCTTTTCTTTTCTGCATAACGGATAATACGGTTCTGGGTTATGAATCATTTGTTGTGGTTAAATTATGATGCAGAATGAAGACTTGAAACGTGTTTTTTTTTCTTTTTCTTTTTTTTTTTACCATTTCACCAAATACCCAAATTACCTTTTTGTGACGAATCCACAGCCAACCCGTCTGAGATGGTGGAGGGGATGTGGCTGGGGGTGACGGTGGCGAGTCAGAGGGGCAAGTCAGCGGGACGCGTGCTGGTGAGGCGACGTCCTGTTTACTCTGTTAGTCGGGGGCGCAGGTGGAGTGTTTTATACCTGCTAATATAATGGTCCTGCAGCACGGTGGGGATGTGACCCTCTGAGTGTGATTATTAGGTGACGCGGTGCGCTCGTCGCATTGTTTACTGCAGCATAAAGCAACTTTAAGGATTTATAAGTATAAATACGTTTGGCTTGTTTTTGTATTTTTACATTTTACATTATACAGGATTATATTTCCTTGAGAAAAATGATACATCACTCACAAAAGATCATGGATATTTAATTTATTTTAAAACATACTGAGATTTTATAGTTCGGATATAAACTTTTTAGCCCAATTATCATCTATTTTTCTATAATAAAGTGTGCATCAGCAGACGTGATTGTACACTCTCTTCTCTGGGCTCCAGGCCTGCGGGCATCGCTACGTGAAGATCATGAAAGGAGGCTCGGAGGAGCAGCGACGGATGGTGGGAAAGTGCTACGTCAGGAGCAACGACCTGACCTTTAACCCCAGCGATGAGTGGCAGACGAACAGCTATGAAGTCTGCAACCCCACACAAGACATGGAGCTCGAGGGCATGTGCAACATGGGCATGTCGGGCGGCATGACGGACACCGATGTCTACATCGGGGCTCCCGGCAGCTACCTGTGGCAAGGTGGGCCCTGAGGAGTTAACGGCTAAAAGAGTGTGTTCTGTTGCTTGGTGCTGAGATAACGGGCTGCTTTCACAAACACGCATCAATCCTGAGCCAGTCTGCTACGCTTGAGTGTTCACGGGGGGGATTATTCTCTGTCCACCGTGCACGAAGCAGACGTAACATTGTGTAATCCTGCTTTTCCATAAAGGAAATGTTCACGTAACGTGGAGAAATCCAGATGAAGCCAACGCCTGGGACTCTTTGACCAAAGACTTTGGAGTGCTGACGAAGCGAAACAGTTACATGGGTAAATACAAAGTAAAAGTGAATGTTTTTGCACCATATGAATTTATAAATTTGTGGTTTTCCAGGCTTTCGAGGCCTCGGAGCGCTCCGACAAACAGGTCGACGTCTCACCCGTGAATCCCAAACGCAGGTTACTCAGTCCTCGAAGAGCGGAAGCTGCTCAGCCGCGACGAGTACACGGTGGTGACGGGGTCTCCCAGGAACGAGTCCAGGGGCGCCGTGGTCCTCGGGACAAAGGCCGGCAACGACATCAAGGCGGTGCTCTTCATCCTGGGGGAACAAGTGGGCTCGTACTTTGGGAGCAGCCTGGCCGTCGCCGACCTCAACAACGACGAGTGAGTCCACGGCGTCTTGGTGCGGGGCACAAACGGGTTTTTACGCATATTAAAAGAATCTTTTCTGAAATGTCCATTGCTCCTCACAGCTGGAACGATTTGATCGTGGGCGCCCCGTTTTACTTCGACCGCATGAAGGACGAGGGAGGAGCCGTGTACGTCTTCATGAATGAGAACGGGTCGTTCCAGACGAGGGCCAGCGTGGTGCTGAAGGGCCCCTCGGGCTCCGCCTTCGGCTTCGCGGTGGCTCCCATCGGCGATGTCAACCAGGACGGGTTCCAGGGTAGGACCGCGAACTCGATGTCTGCTTTCTACTGACAAGACCAGCGAAATAAAGAGAACGCGTCACGGAAGAGTCGCTAAATAACTCATTCCTTTTTTCATTCATCTACTTTGGAAAAAAAAGAGGAAGCGCTTCGTTCCCCCGTTGAGCCTTTGTGTGAATGTGAGCGACACAACAATGAAAGGTGACGTTGTGTGTCGCAGTCTGGACTTGAGCTGCACTGGGACGCCCCCTGCAGGGGAAAACCGTCTCATGCACACGTCTCACTCTCGTGCTCGTTTTCCCGCAGACTTCGCAGTGGGAGCTCCCTTCCACAAGACAGGGGAGGTCCACATATGGCTGGGAAGTAAGCAGGGAATCTCCGGCGAGTCCAGCCAGGTGAGACTTGATTGAACGACCCCCTCGTATCTGCCCCCGCGAGGGCCCGATTTATTGCGTTGACCTCGCCTTTCGTTCCCCGTCGTCCTCTTCAGGTCATCGAGGGCGAGTCAGTGGCAAACGGAAGCTTCAACACATTCGGCTACTCCATCAACGGCGGGATGGACGTGGATGGGAACGGTTATCCCGACATCCTGGTGGGTTCTCTGGATAACCGCGTGGCTCTGCTCAGGTAGGACCACCGGACACAAGGGAATTCCTCATCACGTTCCTGCTGCCGCCGCTTCATTCTCCTCGCTGTTGGTTTTTAGGGCTCGACCCGTCCTCCACTTAACCAAGGCATTCAATGTCGAGCCAAAGATCGTGGACCCTAAAGACTGTCCTGAAAGTACGCCGTGGTGAGAGGTCTCCTCAGAACACCTCGTTAGGAAGCCGGCTAATTTCATTTAGTTTGAAAATACAAATATATTTTTCTTTGTGCTTTACAGCATCACAGCGACTTTGTGTGCGTCTTTCACTCTAAGCAATGGAAACAAGAACTTCAAGGAAAACATCAGTAAGAGTCTTCCTTTACATCATTTAATACAATACAATATATATATATATATATAGTTACACTGTGGAGGTACGGGCTCGCTGTGTTACATGACGTACCGCGTGTTTCCACAGTGGTGAAGTACACGGTGGAGGCCGACGTGGAGAGAAGACGAAGCCCTCGCGTTCGTTTCCAGAAGAGCGACGACACGGGTTTCCTGAGCCTGCCGGCGTCCACAGAGATCTGTCACAACGTGACACTGGTTGTCGTGGTAAATCCTCAACTCGAGTGCAAATGCGTGTTAGTTTGGTTCGCTGTTTCCCAATAACCCTGCGTTTATTAATGTGAGGCTCTCGGCTGATTCTTCAGGCGCCCGTCAGAGACAAACTGCAACCGGTGGTGTTTTCCCTCAACTTGAGCTTACACGAACAGAACCGTGAGTCCAGACGATCCCTTCAGAACCTCGACTTCTTCCCCATCTTCAGCCAGGGGCAGAACCTCACTCAGAGGACCAAGGTACGTCCCGACCAGTGAATCGCCTTGAGAGCGAGCGCGCGCCCGCGTGACAGTGACGCGACGTCGTGTGATTCCGCTTCCTGCAGATCGACTTTCAGAGGGAGTGTGGCTTCGACAACAAGTGCAGCAGTAACCTGCAGCTGACAGCCCACTTTGCTGACGAGGACGATAAGCCTTACCCCAGGTCACACGCAAGTCTCCATTATTAAGCCCTCAATGAATGTTAACGGATACCCTTTGGTTGATGTCTTTTGAATGGAGCTTCCTTTGGAAGACGTTTGGGAAAATATGTTCATTTGCTTTCTTGTCAAGAGTTGATTGACACCACTAAATATAAAATATTAATCATGATATCAAGCTAATGGCAATGCTGATGGGCCGTTAATGTGTTGATCAGCCAAAACTATTGTTAAAATGCGAGGAAATCCCCTGTTTCCAGGTATGGAAAGATCCAGAAACTTCAGTTCAGAAGAAATATGAAGATAATAAGACTGATGGTGAACGTCACCAACCTCCCGGCCGCGGGGAAGCTGGGTGAAGACGCCCACCAGGCCGCGCTCAACGTCACCATCCCAGACGAGCTGAGATACTCTGGCGTCAGGTCCTCGGTGCGTCCTCCGGAGGGCAGCACGTGACTGCCGGCCCCGTTGCTCCTTTTTTTCCCGCCGCCACATCCGTTCTTGTTTGGTAATGTTGCCGATGTTGATGCGTTCAGGACCACGATGTGCAGTGCAGTCTGCAGGAGACGGTGATCTGTGAGCTGGGAAATCCACTCAAAGGCAACGAAGCGGTATGTTGGAGTGTTGCATTTCCTCTCTGACACACGTTGACTCTCCTGCTGTGACCTCTGACCTCTCGCTCTCTCACTTCTGTTATCAGGTGTCACTGGAACTCAAGTTCGAGACCTCTGGGATCAGTTTGTACACTCAGGAGATTCAGTCCCTGCTGCTTCTGTCCACGTGAGGGTTTTTTTCTGAAGGCTTCGGTCACAGTTTTGATTCCACAGTTTGAAGTTAATTTTTAAAAGGTGCTTTCAGGCTCCGGTGACTCCGACATACGGTGAACAACAAGTAATCAGCGTTGTTTCTTCAGGCTTAGTGAGCAGAGCGACCTGAAGCCGGTTCCCGTGGGCCTTCTGATAGAAAACACCATCCTCCCCTCCTTCTCCATGTGAGTCCCGTCACCTCACAGGACGGACAGCAGAGACATGTCCCACAGGGAAGACTCATTTCTGACTCTGCTCACGTCCAGGGCCAACGAGCGGGTGTCAACCCAGTTCAGTGGGACGGTGATGGGCGAGTCAGCCATGGTCAACGGCAGTGACGTCGGCAGTCTGGTGGAGTTCAGCTTCCGCGTGAGTCACCGCAACGTGTGTCCTGACCCACGCTTCCGTCTCCTCCGCCCTGTCTTTGAGGCCAGCGGCGTGTTGTCGTGGTTGCTATTTCATTGCGCTCACTCTTGTCCCCAGGTGAACATGGGGGGACAGCCTCTGGGAGACATGGGGACGCTGGCTGTGGAGCTCGAGTGGCCCTTTGAGGTGGCCAACGGCAAGTGGCTGCTGTACCTGATGAAGGTCTTTGTCAAAGGGGAATCGGAGTTGGAGTGTAAACCTGGCGGAGTTGTCAACCCGCTGAACCTGACCGTAAGGCTCCTCCTGCACGCCCGCCGTCTGCTCGCTGTTTCATCCTTAAGTCTTTGTTATGACGGAGGGAATTCACTGCGACCACATTCCCGTCTGCGGCAAAGTCTTGTATTGTACCGCCTCTGTTTAGCACAAACACCCACTTTGACTAAAATTATATAGAATTTGGAGGTCAAACATTTCTCATGAACACACTTCAAGGATTAATATGGTAATTACGAAAAGGTTGCAGAAGCGTCTGATTTGGTGAAATGATGAATTCCGATCGTGACACATGGTGAGTTCAGTGTCTCAGACATACAAGCGGAAGGTGGAACGAGATAAAGCTTCGGCTCGTAGCAGCAACAGATCTTTGCCTAACGAGGTTCAGCAGAAGCTTCAGTTGAGCATTTCGTTGTGTTTGTTATAAACAGCTTTAGTTTTCCTGCTGCCTTTTGTGCGAGTCGTATTTGTGAATGTCAGCGGTAGAAACGAGCCGCGAAAACGGTCTGAAAGCCAAACCACAGACGCTCTGAAATACATTTTTGGAAAATGTAAGCGTCACCTCCTCCAGACATCACAGGGCCGCTAATAGAACGCTGCAAATAACGCTGCTATTTTAAAAGTCTGCATCGAAAAACCAGCAATTACCCCGAGCCTCCTGATGTCACGTCTCATTCGCTTCCTCGTCTAATGTCCACTCCTCTTGCAACTCTAGTTGTCGGGGAGCGGACGAAGGCGCACCAGACGACAGACGGCGGTGGACGCCGGAGAGACGATGAAGCCATTTATCGTTGAGCCACAGGCGGCCATCACGTTGCTCTCTCCTCGCAAAGAGGCGTACCTGTTGGTGAGGAAAGGATTTTGCATCTTCACCAAGCGTCTCGTCCGGGAACGGAAATGAGTCCACGTTTGTGCAACGGTTGTTGTTTGTCGTCATGTGTCGAAGGAATGCTCAAAGGGAACCGCGCGGTGCGTGACGTTGACCTGCCCGCTGCCCAACATGACGGACTCCGCCGAAGTTTACGTCCGCTCCCGTTTGTGGAACAGTACGATGCTGGAGGTCAGACACAAACACAAACGCACGCACGCACACATTGTTAACGCTTTATTGGCTCAATGTTCTGTGTGTGTTCCTGCAGGACTATTCCAACGCCCTGAGAATCACGGTCAAAGGTCAAGCCACTCTGAAGCTCATTACAGACAAACCCACCATCAGGATGGACCCCCAGCCCGTCACGGTGAGTGGTCGCCGCGACGCAGTGGGAGCGCGGTGACGGTGCTGATGAGGGCGATGAGGACGAGGACTTTACTCCGCTCTCTCCCCCGTTTCCCGTAGTTCGCGGTGGAAATAGAGCCGCTGGAGAGGGTGGAGGCGCCGTATGAGCTCCCGCTGTGGATCATCATCTCCGCAGTTGTAGCCGGAATCCTCCTGCTGGGAATAATCATTGTTATCCTGTGGAAGGTGAGGCTGACAATCGCCGCTGCGCGCTGCGTTCCTGCAGACGCCGAATAACCCTGAATCCCTACGCGCGCATTTCTTCATCGTTTCTTGATTACATGGGAGCTGTTGACCCATTTCAGTTATTATTTGCTCATTCCCCCCGTATTGGGCCTTTGGTCTAACCTTTTGAAATGCACCCTCCACCCCCAGTGTGGCTTCTTCCAGCGCGCCAGCAGGAGGGAGATGTATGAGGCCAAAGCCCAGAAGGCTGAGATGAAGATCCAGCCCTCTGAGACAGAGAGGCTCACCGAGGACTACTGAGGCCCCCCATGGGTCCCCAAAAGAACGCACCAGTGGGGCTTTTGGGTAACGACGGCCTCACAAATGGACTTTCTCTGGATGCTGGGGGGGTGTGGCTCTTTCTTGCGACTCGACTTCCTCTCTTATGTCCGCTCGCTGTGTGTCTCTCTAACGTCGCTTCTGTTTCCCTTCCAGGCCTCAGTTTGCGCCGCTGATTAACTTGTGTTTCGTGTGTCTTTTACCAAATCACTCCGCCCTCTCCATCTTTCTCCTTGTGGGTCTCGATTGCTATTTTTCTCGATTCTGCTCAGGCTCTGAATCCTAAATCCCATTACGAATGGCCATTAAGCTCAGCTCTCCCGCTGCTAAAGTGCCTCCTCTCTAACGTCAGCTGTCTCCCTCTCTCTCTCTCGCCTCCCCCACTAGCTCGGGTTCTTCAAGCGAGCGATCTACTACCGCGTAATGCCAAAGCACCAGGGGGTGAAAATTCGCAAGGCCGAGCGGTATCAGTTCAATCTCGGATTCCAGCTTGAGGAGCCACAGAAAAAGTATTGGATCACCAACTGGACAGAGATGCAGCGTCGCTACTACTGAGGCCTCTTCTCCGGGGGCGACGAGCCACTCGGCGTCACGCCTCCTGAACACGCGTCAATCAAAAAACACTCCCGTCGAGCCACGTGCGAGGGCGGCTTTCACGCGCGTCAGATTCCGTTTCAACCTCCCTCGGTGCAAAGATCCCCAACAGTCCGTCTGCGGGATGGAAACTCTTTTCCACGAGTGCATTGTTGCAATCGGGGTTAAATTCCAGAGCAAATTGTATATTGATTTGATTATTGTGTTCGCATTCATGTTTCAATTGTATTTCTTCTGAATCCTCCAAGCACAGTTCTTGACAATTACCTATTTTTATTCCCGCCATGTCTGCTTTGCTCAGCGATCTGCTCTTCTGTGTGCGTTGTTTTTCCTCAGTGGTTGTTTGTCATATCGGGTTTCGGGGGTATTGTTTTTCAGACTCACAGCCGCTCGGTTATGAGAGCCTTCGTGTGCCGCTTCCACGTCGGTCTTTGGCCGACCTTTACCAAAAAATGTGCATTTTAAACACAGTTGTCATTGTGGCACCGACCTCCAAAAAGTACGACGGCTTCCTTAGGCAATGTAGATAAAATATGTCCCTTGTTTCAGGGAATAAGTACAAAGGGGTACAGGGAAAACATGGTTGTGATTGGTGAATTATTATTGTAACATATAAACCCAGCATGACATCATGTCTGTATGTGGAATTTGGAAACGTGTCGAGATGACGGGAGAACACAGATTATTATTTATTACAGTAAAGATCTTTAAAATAACCCAACAGGGAGTCGTGACACTGGAGTTAATGATACATGATGTTGTATATACTGCAGCTTGAGCTCTGGCGTAGATAGACATGTTATAAATTGTAGCCAGAGAAAAGTTACCACACAATTGACTATTTGAACGAATGCAGACGTCATTGGTAGGCGGGCTTTGTGCTCTGGTAGAAAAACCATAACCTGCACTCTGTTTCCGAGCCGCTGTGGTTCCCGCCGAGGTCGACCTGCAGCACTGAGAATAAACCGGACTATGAGGCGGCGGTCGCTCCGATGGGACTAAATGCCGCGTCACCACTCGATTCTGTGTTACCTGACAGGCCGTTGTGGCCGTTGCAGAGGCTCTATGTGCGTAAAGAGGGACGGGCTGAAGCCAATGCACACTGTCATGATGGTTTTTTTAATGTGCAGTTTTATTGTAATTAAATTGTTTCTAACAACCCTTGAAATTCAGTTGCTGATTTTGGAGGAACGGGCGTAAAATAAGTCCCTGTATTGTAGAAAAGCAGATTATAAAGACATAGAAACAAGAGTTCAAAATAAAACTCAATTTAAAGAATTTATTCAAAAAAAAAGTATGTTTTAGTCCTAGTTAAAAAGTTTCATAAAAGGTTCATAGAATATTATGTTGAAAACGTCACATCAACATGTAGAAAGTTATAGTACAGCATGGCAGACAATCCCACTAATGATGGTATAGTGCTTTAATTATTGTAGTAATATAATATGTAAAATTCACAAAACGATCCCACCATAACACGTCGATAAGAATCAACAAAAAAAGACTCAATTCAATTGTTATCGTCATCATTGTGTGTTTTCCAGAATATCTTGTTTGAACAGATCAAACGCAGAATCAATATTTCATGTTTTTATTAGAGAAATGCAGATTCAACAACAAAATCGAACAATCAAAAAATGCAGAAACTTTAAAAACATCCATTAAAAACATTTTATTCTCAAAACAATTTACACATTAAATAAAATAAAAAATCGTGATGTTCTTTTGCATAGGCAAAAATCTTATTTGAGTCTAAGCGTATGCAACAAATATACCAGACTAGATAAGGAAGCAGAAGCAAAAAAAAAATCAGATTAAATCAGATGTACAACACAGCACAAAAACACTGACGTCCATGATGAGGCGGGTTTAGCTGCTAGCCGCCGCTAGCCGCTGCTAGCCGCCGATGACTAGTCCTTCTGCTTGAGCTCCATGGTGGACAAGGACTTCTCAGGCTTTTTTGACCTCCTGTACTTGTAGGCCAAGAGGATGGTGGCCACCAAGAGGACCACCCCGAGGACCAACAGGACCCACTGGCCGGCGATAGCAGATGCCCCCTCAACGCTGAGACCCAGGAAGTCCACCTTGGTAGACTTAGCTTCTCCTGCTGCACAGAAATAAGAAGTAACATTCACATTTAACATATTGAACAAGCTGCAGTTCTCCACCAGAAAGTACTGATCAGTCATTTTCAGATGGTCTTGGGGAATCTAATAAGATAAGATATTATTATATATTAGTTATTATCCCTGCAGCGGGGAAATCACAATACAGCAGTCGGGTAAAGTGAAGGAAAATAGGAGGAGAAGGAAGAGCGAAAGTTAATTGAAGAATCATTTTGTTGAATTCAAAAGATTAAAAAATAATCACGGTACAGACTTCAAATCAAATAGTCATTGTTGTAGTATGTTATTTATAGGAATGTCCTATACAATATGGTATGCCATAATAATGGTGCAGTAAAAGTTACAATAGCATGTGAAAAAGCATAATAAATAATCTGTAGACAGTAACGTAGTCGTATTTAAAAAATTTAGTGTAACAATGTAAAACTATGTATAATAAAGTATGCCTTCAAATGTGCTAAAAGATTTCAAAGAAAAGCGGTTTTAAAAGTCTTTTAAATATGTTATATCACAAAGAAAACGGAAGTGATAGCGTGCCATGCGCAAAAAACAATATCATACTATACAAAAGAAATCTACATTTGCAGCTTCAACGTGTAAAATTATTAAAGTTATTCTGTAATACGGGTCGCAAAAAGAGAAGAATTACCAAGATGTCACTCCTAGTTTAATACCGCCCATCAGCATTTTTGTGTTGCTGCTGCGGCTACTCTGTATCACTGAGATCGTTGTTGTTTACAAGCTGATGTAAAAAATAACCCTCACAAAACATCCGTCTCCGACATAGAATGTGTGGTGTCAAGAAGTCTCGGTATTAACACCCCACACCAGCACTGAAGAGGTGAAAGGTCAGGGTAACCCAAGGCCTCGTTGTTCATTTCGGTGTCTAAATTGTTTATTTCCCTCTTGACCTGCGTAACAGCTGCGTTCTCTTTCTCCCACTGACTCCATCTAAAACGCACACATCCTTCCAGCGGGATCCAATCAGAAAGACAAGAGCAGCAGGAGACCGATTTCACAGGACGCACGGGCAGAGGAGAAAAACTAAACCCCAAAAAAACATTTGGCTTCAGCATCGAAGTATCGGAAAATGTTGAACGAAGGACGCGCTGGACGTACTCGAAGGTTTCCAGTCGTAGTCGGGCCACCCTCGAACATCGTTGTTCTTGTTGTTTTCCTCCTCCAACCACTGAATGAGAGGCTGGAAATACTGCATGAGAGGCTGGGCGCTCATCCTGGGCTGGCCGGTGATCATGGTCATCGCCTCGGGCCACGGCTTACTGAAGCCGAGCTTCATCACGTCGCTGCAGACAGAGGGAGGGCGGGGGGGGGGTGGAGGGGGAGGCGGGGGAGGTGAAGGGGATCAGCGGAGACGATCGAACACCTGGTGCAAAGCGTCCGTTCACCAGCTGCTCGCACGCATTGTAATGGAAGTGGTGAGTGGCTACTGACCCCAGAAGCTTTCCGGCTTCTCCGGACTTGTAGATGTCGCAGGTGTGCAGGGGCCCGTCGTGCTTGGCGGCATCACAGAGAGCCTTGTGGAACTGGAACTGGATGATGAAGCTGACAAAGTACCTGATGGAAGATCAGCAAACACCAACCGTCACGACTTGACAGGAGGAAACACAAAGCTGTCTCTGTCACGTCGACCCTCATGAAGTGTAGATTGTCTGTTAAGCCACGTGAGTAGACGGGTTCATTTTATCTTTACACAGTTCTTTGCAGTGTGTTGATCCTATTAACAATCTCTTGGTCTCAATTATCAGGCAGCCTGATGTTCTGCAAGCATGGAAACGTTACCTCACGTATGGCACGTTAGCAGGGATGTGGAACTTTGCACCTGGGTCGAAGTCCTCCTCTGTGCGGGTTACAGGTGGACAGAGGCCCTGGTACTTCATTCTGCAGGGCAATAAGGTGTTTTATTGATGGATAAGATTAACAAATGCACAACCAAATCTATGCTTACTGATTAACGTTCCTTTAATGTTGCACTGTACCTGAGGTTCCACCATTCTTTATTGTACTCAGTCGATGGGATACGCCCATCGAACACCTTCCATCTCCACTGATCCATCAGGTAGCCGAAAGGTAAGAAGGCGATCTTGTCGAGCGCCATGCTCATCAGGAAGTTGATATCGCTCTCTGGAGGAGACGAAACATGAGCTGCGTCACAACTTCAGATGCATTTACGGAGCTACACAAAACCCACGACCACCCACCATGGTTGCTCTCCACTTTGTCCAGCAGGCCGATGCTCTGCAGGTGTTTGGGCGTAGACACTGACAGGGCCAACACGTCGCCGATGGCCTCGTGGAAGCCGGGGTTGGCTCCGTCGCGGAAGGACACGGGCTGGTCTTTGTACTGCAGGAAGTACTGAATGTGGCCCATCTCATGGTGCGCCGTGATCAGGTCGTCCATAGTCACCACGGTGCACTGTTTGATCCTGAAGACACAAACATCTTCATGGTTTATTTCTGTACTGTATCTGAATATTAAACAGGGATCTTAGTTGCAACAGCTGTAGTTGGCTTTTGGACAACACACACATTTTCTTTGGCGACAGAAAGCTGAATTTGTTCTGAAAAAAAGGAGAACCTGAAGTCTTTTCGGTTATAGAAGTCCCACGCGGAGGCGTGGCACACCACCTGGCGTCCACCAGACGGCTTCTCTAGCATGGATTTGTCCCAGAACTCTTGGGGCATTGGCAAAAGACCCAGAGAGGTGAAAAAATTGTCGGATTCCTGGAACATTCTGGTGGCGTTCCAGCCCTGTGCAGGAACAGAGTCAACATTTGGATGTAAGTGTGACAAACAGTTTCTTCAGGCAAAGGAATATTTTTTAAACATATAGTGGTTCTCAAAGGACCGGAGGCGAACCCTTGAAACAGTATATCCATGAATAACTTACACTTTGGTCGGTTATGGATGACTGCTGCTGCTATTCAGCACAATTAAAAGTCTGTGTTCCACTGAATTCACTCCACTGTAACAAAATGACTTTTGACCTCAGGAGGGTGGATGAGTGCCAATCCGTGTGCGTGTGTGTGTGTTCTTTGGGCGTGTTCTTGTGTATCCTTGTGGGCAGGCTGGCTGTGATAGTTATTCACCTGTGAAACCATGGCGGGCGTGGCGTCCACCTGCGTGGCATGCGGGTAGGGCATGACCAAATCCATTATGCCCGACCACGTCTGGGCCCACATGTTGCCTGGAAGGACAGAAGACAGCATTCCTACATTTTTTCTCCAAGTCATGGGGCGAGTTTCGTGGCGACCAGCCATTCCAATCGCAAACTGCGAGAAACTGTCACACACAATCTCACGCCCGACGCCTCTGAAAGCAAATTAAATCTCCTCCAAATCCAAATTCATCTACAGCCATGGAGAATATCAATGGGGCGTGCTTACACACAAAAGGAGCGTTTAGGCTTGAGTAATCCTGTAAATTCCAAAGTGAAATACTGAGTAAAGTGTGGTTTTGACCTGTGACGTAATCACTGGAAAGTTGCTGAAGCCCGTCTCAAACAAACTGTGGCTTTATGGAAACGTCCCCATCGTTACCTACCCAGCAAATGAGCCGGGATGGCTCCCTTCAGGTTGATGTGCTGGGAGCCATACTTTTTGTACAGGGCCCTGCGCACATAGGCGTGCACATTCTGATAGAGCGGCTCCAGCTCCTTCCACAGAGCCTCCAGGTCCTCCTCGAAGCTGGGGGTTTCATACAGGGAGCGCCAGGAAGCCCCGTTGTCGGAGTGACCTACAAACAGAACCAGGCAGGAATATAGATTTGTGTTGTGCAAACTTTTGAAGCTGCTAAATGGTGATTTTAAACGTCAAAGGGGAATTATTAGTAGTTTTATGTTTTGCCAGAGGGCAGAGGAACTAACTAACTTCATATGGGAGAAGAACGACTTAGTTGAGAGGAAGGGAAGTCACTGGGCTCAGCCGATTAGCTCAGCATAAAAGCTGGAAACAGCTTGCTCTGTCCAAAGGTAGCTTAGTTTTTATTAGTGATGAAATAAACAATACATCGATTACTCAAAGGGAGCTGCTTTGAACAGCCTTCACTCTGAAAATCTCGACGTGGACTCTTCTTGGTCATACCGTTGAGTTTGGCGGCCATGTTGGCCAGTTCAACATATCTCTTGTAATCCTGGCGAAGCACTTTGCCGGCAGAATCTCTCCATCCTTTCCACGCAAACAGCAGTTCGTCATAATCCCTGGACTCCGCCATGATCTTCTGAAGATCTGAAACGCAGCGCATTCTTTTATCACACTGACTTCACATGCAGAGCAATCATGTCATTTCAGATAATTCACTGTTTGTGTCAAAAAGTTAAGGGTAATATTTATTGCAGCTGTCACGTTATTTCATAGTAGCTAAATTCTATTGCACTAGGTAACAAAAATAAAGATAACCTATTTGTAAAGTATTAAGCAAATGCTGCATGCCTTTCCCTTATGCTATATTTCCTTCATTCCTTTTTACAGCATTGTTAATGACATTTTTGGGCTGTCAAACTTTCACTGTCTCACCCGGATCCAACGGATGGCATCTCCCATCATCTCTGCACACCTCGGCCACACTGTACTTGGTCTCCATGTTGGATAGAAGATTGTTGTACTGAAAAGGTCAACGAAACATTAGATCCCGCCGAAAACGCATGCTCACATATCTGGTTTGGATGTTTGGCAGGTGGATTGAGGCCAATATACTGTGAGCCTGCAGGAGAGACAAGTTACTTTAGTCTAGAATAACAGTTTGTGGATCTAAACCCGACGCCTCCGCACCTCTTCCAGCTGTGCGGTGGGCAGCGCGGCCCTCTCAATGTCGCTGAGCTTTTGAATGACGCGTTTGACCGAGCCGTCCTGGAAGTCCGTGGTGTCGTACTGACGGGCCCTCTGGCCGTACTCCAGGGTGTGGGCCGACATCTCCAGGTTCTTCTTAAGCTACAGAAGAATCATTAAACACTCTCATGTTTTCTGTTTTTGCATTCATTTTTGGTTTGAAAGAGGTGATTAATTGGATGGATGGGTTCGAAATGCATGGATGGGTAATTCGATTGACACATTTAATGAGACTCCAAATCAACTGTTGAGCCACCGAGACATTTCTTTATTAGGCAATCATTCCATCGACATTATTTTATTGAACGGATGAACAAAATCCCCTTTAGGTGGAAACTTTCGATTGGTGACAGATGATGCCTAGGTGGGGGGGATCTCAGTGGGGTCCGGCGGTCCGTCGGAGGGGCTCACCATCGCCTGCTTGTTGGCTTCGTTGATGTCCGTGTTGTACGTCCACGAGGCCTCGGTGTAGGCGTTCCACACCACCTCAGCTGTGCTGTTGTACTCATCCAGAAACTTCTTTGCGTCGAGCTCATCCGTGTTCTTGTCTGGGAAAACAAACAAGGAGAAGACGGCTCAGCTACTATCGCTGTATCAACATAATCAAGATTAAAGTGAATAATGAGCGGTACTCTTACCAATATCCTCAGGGTAGCCCTCGGGTATGGGTGGAACCCAGTTAAAGTCAGGCCATCCCAATGTCTCATTCACATTTTGCTCTTGCAGCCACTGAATAACGGGGTCAAAGTATTTCATCAGCGAGGTGGCATCCAGCTTTCGGGTCCCTATGGCCTCCTGGAGCACCTCGGGCCAAGATTTAGAAGAGCCGGCCTGGAGAATCTTCCTGGACGAGGTAGAGAGAAAGCGTGTAGCAGCTTCACTGAAGCCATCGTTCGTGCTTTGTAAGAGACAATAAAGACTTTAGCCGACGACATACTTTAAAATGGCCCCAGCTTCTGCAGAGCGGTAGATGTCACACGTGTGCAAGGGACCCGTGTGTTTGGCTGCCGCACACAGTTTTTCGTGAAGCTGGAACTGCAGGATGAAGCTGACGAAATACCTGCAGGGGGGGTTATTATCTCGTCAGTGCGTTATACAACACCAAGAACAAAAAGTAAAAACAGAAAGCATAAGGGGACATGATATTCCTTGCTTTAAGGTCAAATCTTTCACACTTCAAAAAGCTGAGGAGAAGCGTAAAACAAATGTGCGTTTTCCATTTAAGTGGGTGATTGACAGCCTTTCGATGTTCACATTGTTAAAAAAAACTCTGAAGCTTTGCTTTTTAGAAGCTTCCTGCTATTGTGTGCAGCCGCCCGGTTATTGAGTCTACTTTACAACAAACAATACCTTGACCTGCCCATCGCCAGCCATGAGTGCATGTCCACTTCCACATTTTCCTCTGTGGCTCTTACACAAATACATTCACCCCATCCTCATGATCGAGTGATGAACAGGCTGTTGGTTTTAAAACATCTAGTGCTATGTGAGTTCAGAGAATCAGAGTGATGGAAAAATACTAAGTGCATGTCAGGAAACCCTCATCAGCCCCAGTTGATTGCTGCATCCTGTGTATGAACATCATGACGGTGGGGCCGGGGGGCCGGGGGGGGGGGCACAAGGATACCTGATGTATGGTGTGTTTCCAGGAATGTGGTACTTGGCGCCAGGATCAAAGTGCTCCTCTGTGCGCTTGGTGGGCGGGCAGATGCCTTGATACTTTGTCCTTCAAAATGAAATAAGACATAGATTTAACTAAGATATTTGTTCTGAAAAGGTTATTCAGCCTATAAAGACTTTTTCTTAAAAATTAAACTGTGTGAAGTATTCTTTAGTCATCAAGGAACGGCTCCACTCTGACCAAACTGCAGCTATAACCATTCTTTCAATACAATATTGTATTAACCTATTATTTATGTGATAATATGAACTTACAGATAATAAACCTCCAAAGCTGCTTTGCAGAGCTTCATAGTGAGTTTGAAGCTCTCACAGTGAATATTGGACTTTCTCTCAGCAGGTGGACACAAACCTGACTCTCAATGAATCATCATCGGAATGAGGATGAAGTCTACCTGAGGTACCACCAGTCGGCGTTGTACCGGTCTGGTGGTGTTTTCCCACTGAACACACCCCATCTCCACTGGTCGATGAGGTAGCCAAAAGGAAGGAAGGCTATCTTCTCCAGGGCCATCTTTAAAAGATAGTTGGTATCAGTTTCTGGAGAAACACAATGCAGAAACATGTTTAACATTTGCCGATGAATACGATATTCAAGAAGTTGTGTTATTAATTCATGATCTACAGGAGGGTACTTCAGCGTCACTTTACCGGGGTCAGTGGTCACGGTTTCCAGAAGACTAATGTTTTTCAGATGTTGGGGGGTGGAAACGGAGAGAGACAACACGTCGCCGATGGCCTCGTGGAAGCCGGGGTTGGCTCCGCTGCGGTAGCCCACCGGCTGGTCCTTGTACTGCAGGTAATATTGGATGTGCCCCATCTCGTGGTGCACGGTAAAGAGCTGCTCCATCGTGACGGTGGTGCACTGCTTGATCCTAAAGGGTGAAAATACTTTAGACGATCAAGTTGTATCCAAAGACTGAGCGTGGAGGTTCATAACGTGAAGATACGGCGGAGTGATGTCCGCCACAGCGCAGGGTGGAACCCCTCCCCTCACGTTTGCTCTACCTGAAGTCTCTGCGGTTGTAAAAGTCCCAGGCGGACGCATGGCACACCACTTCACGACCTTCGGGCTTCACCAGCATAGACCGGTCCCAGAACTCCTGAGGCATCTCCTCCAAGTTCAGAGAGGTGAAGAACTCCTCGGCCACACGGAACATGCGCGTGGCGTTGTAGCCCTGGAGAGGAGGAACAAGTGCCAATTCAGAAGTATAACTGCCTAAAAGAATTAAGATTTAAGAGCTTTGTCATTTGGTGTCACTCAGATGTGCTTTGATCTTTCCCTCTTACTTACTTGGTTGACCATCTCATCAGTCACATCCAGGTTGGGTTTATCAGGAAATGGGATCATCATCCCATAAATGTTGTTCCAGGTCTGGGCCCACATATTTCCTGAGGGTGAGGTAGAAAATGCACTTGAGCAACAATTCTGACTTGTTATGAGACACTGCGCTCAGGGGCACCGCAAGAAGTACCTCCGTCTGCATCAGGGTAGAAACTTTTCATGCTTTTAATAAATGAAAGCATGAAAAGTCTTAAAATAACATATTTGTCCCCCAGTTACTACAAAACAAAGCCCTGATAAAAATGACAACATATTTCATGTCCTCTGAGTATGAAAAATTGCCTCCATTGTGCACAATTTTCATAAAAACCCAAACCTACATTACAGCTGTGACCAAGCACAGATTCATGGCTGCTGTCGGCAGAAAGCAGGTTTGTGTGTGCACAAACGTGGAGTTATACCTAGCAGGTGAGCAGGGATGGGTCCCTTAAGGTTGATGTACTTGGGACCGTACTGCTCGTACAGCTTGCGGCGCACGAAGGCGTGCAGGTTCTGGTAGAGGGGTTCGATGGTCCTGTAGAGCTCCTCTATGTCCTGCTCAAAGGTCGCAGACTCGTACGAAGAACGCCAGTAAGCTCCGGTGTCGTGAAACCCTGAACGGGACAAAGCGGAAATGTCCCTTCTTCTTCCTTTACTCTCCTGGTTCCATCGGTCCAGGTCTGTGACAATGGAGAAGTGGCGAGGAGGGGTTCTTACCGTCGGCTTCAGAGGCATTGTTGCTGAGCTCCACGAACCTGGGGTAGTGCTCCCTGAGAGGTACACCTGATGCATTGTGCCAGGCCTCCCACACGTACAGCAGCCTCTTGTAGCTGCTGGAGCTGGCCATAATTTCTGTGAGATCTGCCGAGTGGAAAGAAATCCCACCTCAAGTCATGAAGAAAATGACGGAGATGTAAAAGGGATGCCGACCGAATCTGCCGCATCCACAAACAATTAGAATTGAACAGCAAAAGCGGAAACTTATGAAGATGTATTGGCATTTAAATGACCTCATGATCTCTCAGCGGGAAAAGGTGAGAGCCGACGCAAGAGATTAGCTTTGAGTTATGACTACTATGAGCGTGATGCTGAACAACATTTATTTTTAAAATGCCAGATAGGAAGGAAATAAAGAGGAAAAGACAAAAAGGTGGTTGAAATGAAAAAGGTGGTGGAAAATGTGACGTCTGCCAGCCTGTCTGTTATCGTAGTGACACCGTGTGTTTTGTTCCACATCCTTCGAATAACCCTGATCCCCCTCAGTAGGATTCCAGGGTTAAGAAACTGGTAATTGCGGTAATTGCGTGTACATGATTACAGTTTTCAGAAGTAGTATTTTTCTTTTCACTTTTTTGTGTTGGACAACGTTACTATTAATAATTACTGTTTGCAGTAAAGTAGCCGTTGTGCACAATACGCGGCGGCAGCTTTAAAAGCCTCTGGCAGAATGTTTCTTATGGGCACTTAAGGGAAAATCCACAACGCTTCCTTTGGAGACCTCTCTGAAGTCATTTTGTCCTTCCACTAACAGCAGATAAAATCTGAACCGTTTACTGTTGTTTTCTTCTCCAGACCTCCTCACTTTATTGTTCGGCTCATAACTCCCTGAGTGCTTGTATCAGAATTCATTTTATTCCAGATTTACTTACCTGGTTCCAGACTCCAGCTGATGTTCGGTGCTGGATGCACCTTGGCCGTTGAATAAATATTGTCCATGATGCTGAGAATTGTGTTATACTGGAGACACGTGGGGGGAGGGGCTTCATGTCAGAATAAGATAACATGATAAAATCTCATTTTGAGGAAACATTTCCCATTAGAAACAAACCTCCTCCCTTTCTTTCGGGGGCAGGTTGGCGACTCCCAGGATTTTGATCTTGTCTATGAGTTTCCTGTCTGACGGGTCGGGGAGAGCGTCGAGGATCTCGCCAGTGAAGACCTTGGCCTTCGCCCCCCACGCTGAGCCGAATGCCTGCTCCTCCAGCGACGCGTTTACCTAAAGATCAGAGTTCAGATCACGATACGTCGATTACCCAGATACAACGATCTAAACATGGAGCACCGAGAGGGCTGATGAACATGTAGCAGTCATCTAGTGACTTTTCTTTGACTTTTGACCCCCTGAATTTTCCCCGATGATCTCACACGATCATTAAGGAAAATGACATTACAAGTCATTTAGCTGGCGCTTTTATCCAAAGCGACTTACATTGCATTTTTAACCCATGGTTTTACATTTTGCCCGGGGAGTAAAATGTGTACAACAAATTGACTTATACAAATAACACTTAGAGGTTAACGGCACAATATCTTCTGGCACGGCGGCCCACTTTTTATCTACAACACGTCCTCCTCTGTGACTTCACGTGTTCCTTCCAACACATCTTTCTGTCCACGGGAGCAAGGACGAAGCAGCACAACACCCCCCCCCCCCAGCTCAAGGATCGCATTTTTGAAAAATGTCCACGCTCAAGTACTCGTTCTTGTATACGGCCTCAATGAATGTCACAAGCTTTTCTTTACGGCGCGGTGGAAGGTCGGGGACCTCTTCAGTGTGCAGCGGCAGCCGAGTGTCTGGAGTCAAGGCCGCCGTGCGGCATCGACGGGACAATAGAATATCACACCGTGTGTCCCGTTGACATCAGCGCGTGTCACGTATCTCCTGTTTTCACAAGCACGCGGCGTCCAAGGAGGCTCAATCCACAGCGTGATTTCTGAACTTTGAAGGAACCACACCCGGATGTCACTGACCAAACAGCGGCTTCATTCCGGTGCCACCGAAGCCTTTCTTATCTGCTTCCCTGAAATAACAGGCTGCAGGAGAGAAAACGGGTGACGGCGAGTTGAAGCATTAACCCGTGAAGCCTTCGTGCTCTTCCTATTAATCTCTGTCTTACATTCAAATGTTCCTTTCCCAGCCTGCAGACACCCGTCCACCGAGATAATCATTGCCAACTGGCAAGAACCAATGCAAGGCTGTAATGGGTAAAGAGGTGGATTTAACAGACCTTCATACACATTCACCCGTTTGAAAACAGAACCTGGATTCGGTCAAAGGATAACTGGGTTTACATGCAACACTTCTGTAAGAGTGCACTGGGGTTTTTAGCTTCGAGGGGTCAGTATTTGAAATATATGAAACAAAACTCTTCACTTTAAGGTAGTTCTCAAACGTCACATTAAAATAACGGAATATGCAGCACAATGGAACTCGGGCCTGATTGAGACATGAAGGCAGCTGGTATTTTATTCTGAGGTTCAAAGGACGACCTCGGCCATTGATATCCACTCTCATCAGTTTGTATTCAGCATGATTAGAAGCTTGTGAACTGATCCTCATTCTGTTTGATCTTCCACGTGTCTAAAATGTGGTTTATTTGCACTTTGACCGAAACCCTCGAAGGACAAAGCATTTGCATGTTTGCATTACGCGCAATGGGTGTAAATGCCATAATTTAATCTAAATAACTTTAAATGTGATCTCCGAGGCAGCATGAGAGAAATGGCCCCAGTGGAGCATTTCCCTCTCAGGCTCAGCGGCCGTGTGGACGGAGCTCAGCACTCCGATCCAGCAACAACCATCCTGCCCATCCTTCAGCTTGCACAGCGCACGCATTCTGCAGCCTGACCCGGGTGACACTAGGTGGGAGGGGGGGGGGGAGGGCGGCCTGCATCTACACCTGTTCAACGTGTGAGGATACCAAAGTCCAAATACTCCGCTCAAAAGCTGTTCGCTCAGACTGTGTCGACTGGACAATCGCTGTGAAGACTGCAGCACTGATGGATACGTTTGTGTTGACTCGCTCCTGGAGGCAAGTGAACTGCACCGCTTCACTGTGTCTTCTGCACCTCCACTTCCATCGTCTACAAGGAGCGATGTTCAGGATCCGAGAAGAAACTGTGAAACGCTCCGTTAAGAAAGTAATACATCATATCTGATCTCTTAAAAGTGAAATCTTGTGAAGGTGAGACACGTTATTTTGCCACCTCAGTGTTTAAACATGCATCTAGCTGGAGGAACTATTTCAATCAAACACTTTAAAACAGACGGTTAGGCAAATATGAGCATGCAAGGCACCCTGGAGGTGTATTCAAAACTTGAGGACGTTGCACCGCAGGCATTCAGATCCGCTCTGCACACAGGCCGAGTTGGCTGCGTGGGGAAGGGGAACCGAGCAGGTCGTTTTCTGGAGAGAGATGAATAGGGGGGGGGGGCACCCAAGTCCAGCAGGGCTCCATTCTACAGAAATCCTCCACCCATGCATGAATTGATGGCGACGAGGTGCCAGTGCTGGCTTCGACTCATCCAAACGAGCCAATTTCATACCGGCGTGAGAGGAGAAGATTGAGCCACCGGGTCCCCCCCCCCCCCCCCCCCCAGAGCTCCATGGAGACTCCATGAGTTGTCCTACCAGCAGCTTGGCGTTGTGGTCCGTGATGTTGGTGTTGTAGTTCCAGCTGGCAGACATGCTGTTGAAGAACACCTCCTCGGCAGTGGCGTTGTAGTCGCCGAGGAACCTCAGCGCGTCCGCCGCGGTGTTCGGATATTCTCCCGGCGTCCAGCTGGCTGTCAGAGCCCCAGAGAGTCCCGGGACCGGCAGCATCAGCATCATCACCAGCACCAGCATCGGCAGCAGCGGCACTGACCGCAGACGCCCCGCCCGCGCCGTCGTCCATGGCTTCTCTCTGAAAAAAGCTGCAAAGTGAAAGAGTTGGAAGGAAGAGCTAAAAATACACTTGCTCCAGTGAGAGCGAACCTCCCCCCCCCCCGCCGCCCCCCCAGAGGCTGTCGTCTCTTCTACCTCAGCGCTGCGCTGCGAGCATCCCGGCCGGTCTGCTGGGGAAATGCACGGGAGCCGGAGCGAGCGTCTTTAAGCGGGCCGTCTAACCCAGCCCACCCTTCTCTGCAGCCTCCCCTCCCACCGCCGCGATCCACTCAACACCGTCTCTCCCCCGCCTCCCCACCTCCCCGCCCCCCTTTCTGCCGTGCACTCGGGATTCAGATGCATGGAGGTGCCGGTGATCACATCCCCAGTGCTGGATGAGAGGGACGCGGCGGGACGCGGCGGCGCGTCTCCCCGCCCGTGGAGCGGGATGAGCGGCTGCGGGGCGTCCGGAGGGGACACGGATGCGCAAGAGAAAGCAAACTCACGGCGTTGTTGTTACTTTCAAAGTGAGCTGAACAAAGTAACGTTACACGATGTCCAGTGCGGACTGGACGGAGCAACGTTCAACGTACTGTACATTTAAAAAGCACAAAGAAGCTCCTTGTCTGAGCTGTAACTACCACACAGACTCATTTAGTCCTCAATGGTCCATTCGGTTCATTTTGAGAAACCGAAGCCAAAGGGATTTGACTGGTGAGTTTCTTGAAATTGGTCACAATTGAAAGCAAAACACTTTTCTTACACTGAAAATATACGTTTGGTTTGTTCCATCTTGGCAACATTTAGAATGTCCTGCAACCTTTTCTCAATAAAGAAGGAGGAATAATTCTGTATCCAAACGAGAATGGACTAAGCTTTGATTGATTTCGAGACAAAGTGTTTCTGAGTTTTGTGGTAGAACGTTATCCATGTTGCCTTCAAGCTGCTCAACGTTCAGAGTGTTCAGTGACTGATTCAGGCCATAAAACCTGACGGCGTTCAAAAGACATCTACTATTCTACAAAGGATGGATCATAATCCCAATGACTTCAATATAAAGGTAGATATCTGCATGTTGATGTTTCGTGGCATCTATGAACCTTCATATAGTCATGTGACCACAATAAATGATAATATGACCCTCGTCTTTCAACAACGCTAAATAATCATCAGAACAGAAAGCCTTCAACGGTGGAATCAATGTTGGTAAAGAGCTTTCCAGCAGATAAGGAAGGATGTTAATGATGCTGACGTTCTACTTTTGAGGTAAATGAACTTCAGTCTGCCGTCCACAAGGTTGAGCTGTTATGATTCTTGCAACACAGCGATTTCTAAAGATAAAAGTGCCCTGTAAACAGGAGTGATTTTAAACTGTGATGGTGACTGTTACGTAACGCCTGCCGAGAGCCGCTACACGAGGGTCATCGTGGATTAACCCTCCCACCGCAGGATGCAAATCACAGCGTTCGGCCTTCTGCCGTCGACCCCTCCGTGCAGAGAAGCCGAGCTGCACGGCGACGTCTAAAGAGAGATGAGGAGCATCTGAGGAGCATCTCCGGGGTTCCAGCGCTGGTGTCGATTTAACGCGTGAGCCACCTGGACTCATCGACAGAGCACAGCCAGTGCCTTTAAAAGAAGTTTGACAAAAGGGCAGCAGGTGCCCAGAGACCACTTACAACTGAGTTCAGGGTGTCACAGTGAGTGCAGCTGCTGTGTGTGTGTGTGTGTGTGTGTGCACACTCTGGCACAATAATTGAATGTGGCTTTTGCTTTAATGGAAGTCGGTGAAGTGTGGAGAGGCTGCGATAGAGTCAGAACATCCAATCTCCACCAACAGGCATTTGTTGCACACCATTGGACGCGGCTGCTGCGGCGCGCGTGTGCGTGTTTGTGTACCGCGGGGGGTGTAAAATGACATTTTAACTCTTTCCGCAGTTTCTGCACGTCGTCATCGTTCCAGTTCAGTCTCATCCTGAATAATCGCGTGTCTTCTCTGCAAGATACTGAGGGGACAAATCAGTTCATTATACACAGAAATCATCATTTAAAATTGGGATTTGCAGCAGGTTTGTTGGCTCCGGCCGTCATCGAGGTACGATTGTAGTGTTTCCTTGTATGTGAAGATTCATAATTAGATTCCCAAACACATTAATAAGGGTCTGTTTTCATCTGGATATTAAACCGTGGTGCTTTTTTATAACCACCAGCAGCACAATGGAGACGTTGTTTAACAGCAGCGAGCTGACTGCTCCGGCAGACGTGTACGAGGTTTAAAAAGCGCATCGCGATTCTACGTTCTGAATAATGACTGAAGGCTACAAAACACCGGTTACGCATCTGAGGCTCAGAAAGAAAATGACATAACGTCTGAGGTCAGCGGGAGGGCAGGAAGGTAAGTAGAGCTCATCATGTCATCTGGGTACGATCACCAGCCGCGCAGAACAACAGAAGCAAAGGAGATAATTACAGCGATTTGTCATCACCAGAGCGATTTCCATCTATTGTCTTTACTGTGGTTTGTTCTCAAAAGGCATAATTATTATAACAGTAATCGCTATCATGAACATTAAATCTCGATTTGCAACCAATTTGTCCTGAACAGAGAGCAGAGGAATGTTCAATGAGGGAATAAAGTGATTGATAATCTCTTATCGGTAGATAACTTGTATCCGCTCCACCAAACTGATAATAACTTTTGCACACTCGGGCTGTTATTCTATCAATCATATCACTCAAAGGAGGTCTGAGCTAATTGTTATGTAACATATCATTTCTACATCATCTGCACAAGGTGAATGCATTTTGGGATCAGTTTTATTGTCACTTGATAGCCGGTATCAACACTGATCTTATTGTGGTCGGTCACATGACTCAATGAGGTCAAAGAGACCCGCTAAACTTGTTTATAAGCCAACAGGATATTCAGAACAATAACGGGGATTTTGACTTTGGAGCATTTTGTCATCATGAAGCAGCTACAAGTGAAACATTACGTGATCCAGCTGGTTGTGATTTAAGAATCTAACTGCACTGCTTGTGTTGTGCACATTTTATGTCATAGATTCCCTTTCAATCTCTACTTAAAACCTCAAGTGTCGTGTCACTCTCCTGAGTAATAACCTCGTGTGATTTCATTTTATGGGGAAGAAAATAAATAGGAACCGTAAACATACATTTAAAATGTTTTGTATGATTTAAATGCAGCGACCTAACGTAAAAAGGAAAATAACAGTGCATTTTGTATGTAATAATGCTCAGCTCATCCTCAATGAGCATTTGAATAGGATGTGTTATATTACGCCCTTTATTCTTTTATTATAATCATTATAATATTATAATGTTCTATAATAAACCCACCAGGAGAATCGCAGAGAAGCTGCTTATAAACATTTCAACATGAAAAAAAAACCCTAAAAATTCTCCCCCCACAATGTTAAGTGTCTTTCTTCGGGGAAAAACCAAGTGAATGACCTCTGACCCCCGATCCTTAAACGTATGCGCGCCTTCCGGGGCGCGACGTCCACAGACGGTGAGGACGCGTCACCGCGCTGCCCCCTAGCGGCCTCCGTCGGTAGCACGCGGCACCTCGTCGTTACGCGCACTCTGTCACATTAAACGTCCCAGCAGAGCCTCGGGGACCTTATAATAAAAGCTAAATGATGGGTACGCGCACGCTGCGTCCTTCTGCACCACCTGTCCCCCGGTGGACATGTCCCTGGAGCCAGACAGACCTGGGAGCAGCTGCTCGGAGACCTTCACCCCGCGCTCATTCCGCGTCTTCCTGCTTCGGCTGGAGGCTCCGCGTCCTCCTCCAGCGGCCACAGGGACTCTCGGGTTCTCCAGAGGCTGCCAGATGGGAGAAACGACGCAGCAGAAGAACCCCGCCGAGGTCGTCGCGCGGATCCTGAAAGACGCGCCGGGGGCCAGGAATGATCTGCTCGACAACCACGGCAACTTCCTCCGCGTCGCGGATTACTGCGAGAACAACTTTCTCCAGGTGAGTTCCGCTCATAAGAATGCAGGTGTCCTTCAGCAGCACGACGACGGCATCGCGTTTGCGTTTTATTCCTCCGCGAGAATCACTCGATGAGCTTATCGAGGGTTGGTATCTGCAGGCGGAGGATTCCACCAAAGCCGTCGAGGAGGCCAAGGGCTTGGCCGCCCAGGCTCTGGCCAGCGTGTCGTACCAGATCAACGGCCTGGCCTCCACCGTGCTGAGGCTGCTGGACTCCCAGGCCGTGCAGATCCGAGCGATGGAGTCCTCCGTCAACCTGCTGACCCTGGTGAGCTGCTGATTTGGCCTTAAATACCGAGCTGTGTCCCAAGACGTTGTCCGTAGAAGAGTGAATCAAATACAAGTTGTTGTGTTAAATGCACACAAGAAATATATTTAATTAGAAAATAGTTACATTGTGGTTTTCATGAATGAATAATCTTGCTTTCGCGTGGAATGCTTGACCTTCAGAACTTGGTGTGTAGATTACCTAGGTTCTTCTTGCAGGTTCTTTCATCTGGTTTGGTGATCCATTGGTTCTATGGTTGAGAGAGGAGGAAGAACCTCCACTGACGGTGACTTTGTTCTTTGCTTCAGGCTTCTGCGATCCACTGCGAGACGGTCGCCAGGAGGGCAATCGGGGCTTCCACCACTCCCAAGAACAAGAGCTGCTCCAAGATGATGACCCCACCGGCCGCAGGCAGGGAGGCGGAGAGTCGCTACGCCAGGGAGCCAATATCCTACTCCACCCTGGACTCCACTGGCCACTGTTTTGGGGTGAATCTGAAAACCACATTGAACTACTGAACTGAATAGATTTTTCTCTTCTTGGGTGTTTGTGGTGTAGAGATGTTTGCTTTCTTACCTTCATCCATCTTCTCCCAACAGGTCCTCGAGGAGCAGGGCAGAAGAGCCGACACTGCTGAGAGCGCTCGGCCTGCTGCAGAGTTCCCCGTGTGCGTAAAGTCCTCCTCCTCCCTGTTGTTATTATTATTATTATTATTATTATTAACACTAAAGTCAAACCACGCTGATCATCTGGGCTCAACGTGTATATTATGGCGACGCGTCTGAACGGTTTCGCGGTTAAAGAAGCAGTTTGGGGGAAAATGTGAATTCACGTTTGTGCCGAGATGAACGACTCCTCGCTGCTAAATACGAGGCAACGGCGGGTTAGCTTAGCTCACGTTAGCATGAGGACAGGAAACAGCTGACTGATGTCCTGAAGGACACGCTGCGTCTCTGTGGGACTGTTCCTTTAAAGGTCCACGCTGAAGGTCCACTTTGTGCTTGCAGGTCCAGTCTCGGCATCGCGGTGCCTCCACCATCAGTCCCCACCCTGCGGACCGCCTCCAACCCCATCGACGGCAGCCCGCCGCCGCCGCCGCCTCCTCCGCCTCCGGCCGATTTGGACCCGAGTATGCCCGCTCCCCCTCCACCACCACCTCCCCCCTCCGACGCGGACAACGGCCTCCCACCGCCTCTGGCCTTCTTGACGTCACCCACGGCTCTCCCGCCGCCTCCCCCTCCCCCGCCAATGTGTCTGTCAAATGGCTCCTACCCGCCTCCACCTCCACCACCACCACCGCCCCTTCACACGGGCACCTCCGGTACGGTGCCACCACCCCCTCCGCCTCCCCCTCCGCCTCCCCCCCTGAGACGCTAATGGCCATCGTGTTAATTGTTCTCAGTCGCCGGCTTGCTGCCGATGTGTAAAACGTTCACAGCTGCATGGAAATACTTGCGGGCCGGAGGTCGGCGTCGAGCATAAATAAAAAGCTTGGAAAAGTGTGCGTGTGTGTGTGTGTTTGCTGGTTTTGACCTCGAGCGGATTCGTGTGTGTTAAAAACCTGAAATGATTTTGTTCAGAGGGACAAAGAATCCTGGCTGGAAGTGAAACGTTGAGCTGCAGCTGCAGATTCCTCCGACGTGTTTCAACGACACCTTCACTGCATTCCAACCAAACAAGCTGAAACACACTCTTAGGTTCCACGTCAAGTCCCCCCCCGACCCCCCCATTACCTTCTATTGTTGTTTAGCTCCATGTTAGTCAGTCAAAGTCCATTCAACCCACCGTCATTGTGCTGTGTAAGAATACGTGTTCAAGAATTGGAGCCTGGTCGGGGTTATCAAAAATTCAGCTGAACGACTTCTCTCGTTCTGGGTGATTTATTTGTCAGATCACAGGTCAAGTATCAGCGCTGCGTTTGCAAAGGAGGAGCAGTTCAGGCAGCACACAGGCCGGAAGAACAACCAACTAACATCAGCAAGAACATCATGTTTTATAACCCTGGAAAGACCGAGAAGGAAAGATTTCTATTGGCCCTAAACTGGCGTAGAGGAGGACCTTCCACCTCCCGCATCTAAAGATCCGGTTACATCCGATGTCCGGACTCCTGACTCAACGTAAACATCAGCGAACAGAGTGTGTATGTTGAATAGTGTTGCATTCCTCAGCCAGGACAGAAACTGACTCCCCATCCCGTCAGACTCGTGTCTGCCTGCTCGGCACGTCCTGCTTGCCCCCCTTACCTAACTCTTAAATCAAGACAAGACAGCGACCCCCCAACTAAGCCCATGAAAAGAACTTTTGATGATCAGTAGTGACAGCAGAGTCAATGATTTGTGCTTCACGTCACGTCTGCTGCTTTGAGCGGGTGGATGAGGCGCTGAGCGCTCTGCCCGGCCCGCGCTGGGAGGTAAGCTTTGTTTTCAGTCCAAACGTGTGAAATCTGTTCTCTTTGTTTATTGTTCCATAATTGACATATTTCACAGGAGGCCCATTCTTGTCTATTCATCACGCCGCTGGTTACTTTTACTTTACTGCCTCGGGGTCTATTACCGTTCATGTGGCCGTGTGCCATAAAAGTTTAAACCTTGAGCCACCATTGAGTCTCTACAGTAAAAGTCCTCTGTTGGAGACTCTGGGATTGTGCAGCTTTGTAATTCATTGATTACGTTTTCCTGAGAGACTTCGTTTGTGTCCGTGTGATGCACAGAGATAAAAATAGCTCCCTTTGACCTGTACGACTGCTACAAAACAACACGTTCTCCACCTTTAAAATGAGGTTTGCACTTTTCTGATTCCTCAGCTGCGATTTGGATTTGATGTGGTCATGTGGTCATGGTCGCTGTAAGCTGCTCCTTCGTTTCAGGACCCCCGTGTTGTGCGCTGGTAGCGTCCTTGTCGTTTTCTTGTTGCCATGTTGGAGAGAAGAGGAGGGAAGGACGAGGCCCCCGACTCTCCATCCATCGACGTCACGGACACGTGGCTCAGGAATCAGGAGGCTTCAGGAATCTTTCGTCAGTTCTTGATTTGGTTTTAGGCAACAACAGGAAATATGCAGGACGCAGGAGCACACCTCCACGCCCCGTGTCTCTTTAAAAAGGACCATAATGCTGTAAAAGCTCCTCAGGTTGTGCCCTTCCCTCAGTGACACATCATCTTCTGATTGCTGAGGGAAGGACCGTTTGTGTGTGTCTGGATTCTCAGATAAAGGTAAAGACTCAGCCGACTGCCGTGTGATATACGTCTGCATCGCCACGGTAACACGCGTTAGAATGAAACTACTTTTACGCGTATACACGAGGAGCGGGAAGGTTTTATAGCGTGACGCGTTTGTAGAGCGGGATCATTGTGGGCGAAAAGCTGAAGGATCATTTTAGGCCTTTAAACCTGGAACGATTGTTTAGAGTGTGATGAAGACGGTTGTAGCTCACACCCACTCGACGGTTTCAGTCAGCACGCCATTTTACACACAATCACAGTTTAATTGCATTTCAAAACAGATTCTTAATGTCGTATCTATTAGTCAATGGACATTATTCTATTTCAAAAATTGACATTCAATGAAAGTTCATTTTCTCACATGATTGTATTGTTTTTGACCCCCCCCTCACATTAATGTCACCAAATTGACATCAATTCCAGCCATGACGGTGAACATCTGCCAATATGTGTGAGTAGTTTCATAAAAGCCCAGAAGGTTCTGCTCAACGCGTGACACAGAAGACTTGAAATGATGGAAGTGTGCTCCTAGGTTCCCGGCCCTGGTGGTGTCCATCGCCGCGGTGCTCCTCTGCTTCTATGTGCGCGCCAGGAGAAAACGAACCGCCGTCGCCACGGCGCCGCCGCCAGGCGCCGGCTCCCCTCCGGGGCTGAGCACGGTGTCGCGGCCTGACGGTCAGACGGATGAGGAGAGACATTACGACAGGTTCCCCCCTCGGTACAGCACTGTGGACCCCCCACCACCGTACTCACTGGTGGGTTCGGAAGACTGCGGATCTTCTCATCTGACTCTGGAGCAAAAAGCCAATCTTTCCCCAAAATAACTATTCCCACGTTAAAAAATGCCGTGTGTTCTTTTTAAAGTTGGAATTGTGTTGACTTCCCTTTTTATTTCGTTGCAGTTTGACCCCAAGCTGACGGGCGTCTGGCCGGGGGGCTCGCCCCCCGCCTACGAGATGTACCCGATAACGCTGCCTCTGGCTCCTCATCACTGGGCGACATCCACAGGACGTCCGCGCCCGACCTCGCCGAGCCCCCGCGGGCCCCCCCAGCCGCAGCGCGCCGCCACCAGCTAACGTCGTCGCGTCCGGGTGCTTCTGCTGCACTTTTAACTTCGACGTAGAAAGTGCAGCAACATTCTCTCAATAGGACGTTTTTTTTTACTTATCATGAAAAGGAAAAGTGTAGTTTTGGTGGCAGCAGAATCACGGAGCCACCGAATGTTTCTTGAGTGATACTTTATAGTCTTTATTACAATACAGTACTTACAAGTTTGAGGGAAATTAAATAAATATATCAGTGTTGCCAGTATTATTTTTCTCTAAATTCTAAGAAGGAACATGTACAGTGATGAGAGTATTTCCTTGGCTTCTGAACCATTTTAAGGCAAAAGTAAGTGAGAATTTGAAACCACTGATAAAAACGTTACTCTTTGTACATGAAAAACGGTTTTCAGCTTCCTTTCGTTGTTTGTTTGCCTCCGTTCATACAATCAGTGCAGGCTACTTCTTCAGTGGTGTCTTAATTCTTCGTTCAGTGCTACAAAGACAACGGATGGAGCCGTCGGCCGGGTGTCACTCACACTGGAAAATCAAATGTTCAATGAAAAACGCATTCAATGGACACAAAAGCAATCCAGACCGAAGATCAACACAAAATGTGCTGTTGTATACGAGCAAATGTGCCGCACGTGTATGTTTGTGTTTAAAATGAGCTATTGCTGTTTGGTTGTCAAATTAGTGGTGAGATAATATAAAGCACACTTATGAGCGCACACAATCACACTATGATCAAATGGTAAAATATGGACTTTTTGTCCCAAACATTTGGTATATTTCCTTCACAATTCTGTCCTAGCAACCCAATGTAAACATTACACTACACACAGTAGGGAAGGCTAAAAAGTATCCTTCAACGGAGCGCTGTTCCTTTACTCTACGTCTATTTCACACTGATGAAAACACACACACACACACACACGCTATTGCACGGACCTCATAACCCATCTAAATGCTTCTCAACAAACATTAATAAAAATCCTCCAAATTCCGACAAAGGACAACTGGACATCGGGCTCAACAGAGGAACACTTTTGTACAGAAACGCTCAACGTGGAGCCCCGACCTTCGACCCGTGGGACCCGGCACCTCGCTGCGGGGGGGCTTTCAGAAGACCCAGCTGACGGGGACCCACTGCTGCTCCGTCGACAGTCTGTCCAGAGCGCAGCGCAGGCCGCGGAACGCCGCGTCCAGCCCGTCGTTCGCGATGCACAGGTCGAAGTAATGTCCGTAGGCCCGTTTGATGCGCTCGCTCTCGTCCACCGTCCTCTTTAAGTCAGAGTCCTGCGGGGAGCCCCTCGGGGGGGGGGGAGGTGAGAATAAATCCAATGAGGTCAGAACGTAGTAAACGTGTAATCAGCCTGTTTGTCGTAGTATAACAGGAACCACGCTTACCGTTAGCTGTTTGGTAACAACTCCCGACTCAATCGCAGACTTATTCATATCTTTGAGAACCTCAAAATCGGGCGCTTCGATGAAGACAACGTAAGGCAGGAACTCTGACGTCCGCAAGACCTTTAGGGCCTGACAAGAAAACAACCACAATTCACTGCATCACAGCCGGCAAAGACACAGACACGCAATCAATAGGTCAATGTGGTTGGTGAGTGGCATGTCGTGCACATGCAACATGCGGCATGAAGGAAATCCTTTGGGACAAACGTCGGAGAGGAGCAGCATCTACCTGCGGGTTGACGTCCAGGATGCAGATCTTCCCCGTTTCTATCACCTCGTGTATGGAGTTGATCTTGGTGCCGTAGAGGTTCCCGTCGTACTCGCCGTGCTCCAAGAAGCGAGCATTTTTGATGTCGCACTCCATCTCGCCGCGGCTCATGAAGGAGTACATTTGGCCGTCCCTCTCATCCACCTTTGGTTTTCTGCAGGTGACTAAAGGATAAAAAAGAAAAAAAGAAATGCGACTTGCAGTGCAGCAATGCAGCAAACACTAACAACACAAACGGATGAGGGGGATTTTGCGTGGCGGCGGCGGGCTGCACTCACAGGGCGTGGTGGTGCCGTACCGCTGGGGGTCCGACACCAGCAGCTTGTTCTTTAGGCTGCGACGGCCGACCCCCTGCGCACCGATCAGAACCAGCGTCTTCCTCCTGAAGGGCGGGACTTTGGCAACCTCCTCGTATATCCGCAGCTCGTGGCGATCGAACTCTAGTCAGAAACTTGGTGGTTGGGGAGCCGCACGCAATAGAAAACGAGGCTGTGACATTGGACTTTGTGAGGTGACCTACCGGCATTCTTGGTCGTCAAATACATCATTTTTTTCTTCTTCTTACTGCCCATCCCGGCGCACAGAGGACCTGAGACGAACGGCAACAAAGCACACATTCAAAGTCTGTCAGTGCACCGCGGGGTGATTCGGGGACGGCGTTCAGGGAACAGAACCACTAGGTGGCACTGTGACACCTGTGACAAGGCGATCTGCTCGCTGGCTGATCAATATGGCGGCTTGTGTAGCCTGTCAGGCAGCATGTTGCATGAGCGGAGACGAGAAGAGGAGCAAACATGACATCATGTCTGAATCCAACCCATCAAGCTGTGACTCACAGCCACAGGAATAAATACACAGATTTGACTAAATGTATGAATTGGACCAGGTGAATTGCACCCGATAATTCAAATCACGCTCTCAGCTGATGTGATATGTGAAGCGCGTGCCGGCGAACAGATGTGTCCTTCCCAGGCTCCAAGGGCAGTACGGTGGGGCGGTCGCCTCCCCCCCCAGTAAAGGGCATCCTGCTAGCTGTGACTCACCACCTGTTTCTGCACAGCCTCCTTCCACCCCACACCTCATGAGAGAGCCGCCGATCGGGTTTTGATTCGCGGGGCTCTTAACGCCCCGCTTCAATAAACTCAGGAGGGCTGTTTGTGAAGGTTAGACCCTGCGGCTAAATCGCAAGCAGATTGGAAGCCGGCGGCGTGCGTCACGGCGATGCTCGACACCAGTTCTCCTGCGCTCACTGACGCGGTAACGGAGCGGAGAGCGGGGAGGACGACAGGAAGTGTTTGCGCGATGTTGGAGAGGACAACAGACGTTGTCTTTGTCGCCGGCGTGTTTGAGTACCTGCGGTCGCCAGCTCCGAGTCCTTCTTCACAAACGCTTTCCGCTTCTCCTCAAGCAGCTGGCTCGGGATCAGACCTGCGCTGCCTCCCTCTATGCGACAGGCCTGTGGGGCCACACAAAGAATAACATGCAGGTGAATAAAAGCGTAATTGATGCACAGAAACGTTGCACATCTCGGGAAACACCAACCTGCCACCAATTGAGGTCCTCCTGGTTGAAAATCTGCAGAATGTCTCCGCTGTTGAAGCTCAGCCCGGCTTCTTTGCAGGGAATCAGATTATCGTGGGATGGGTCGTAGTCAAAGTGACACTTGACAAAGGCCTGAACGGCGAAAGACGCAATGGATGTCACAACCGATTGATTGAAAAAAGACACATTCGACTGAATAAACAAGCTGGGACTGAATGTGTACGCTGCCTCCGGTGTGGAGGATGAACAGTACACGACGTAGTGCAGATGGATTGGATGAGTAAGTGCCCGGCACTGTCAAGCAGCCTCGAGCACTTAAAGTCTACTCCGTCTCTCCGCTCGCTTTCCCCCGACATCTCAAGGCTGCACGGCTGAGCTCATAAACCACACCGGCGTACCGACCCCCACTGACGGGACAGACAGATGGACAGCGAGACAGACAGAGAAATAAAGAGACAGCGAGCCAAAATCTGTAGTCATGACAACCATCCCACCCTCTCCCCCCCCCCCCCTCCCCCCATACACTTGCTGAGCTGATGCACGAAGAGGCTGCCAGCCTCGACTGCTCCGCCGCAGTGACACTCGGCCCCAAACGGCCAACGGGAGCTGTCGGTTCGAGTTTAGTCGCCGCGCGGCGGCAAAGCTGGAGGCGGCTGGATTACACCCAGAGAACTTTTACCAACAACTCCTCACACCGTACGCCGCTCACCCACGCGTGAGCGCAGCCAAATCCCTGTTTGATATCTCCAACTGGTGGTGGCAAGTGTTCAAGTGGGCTCTCTGAAGACTCTGCGGTAAACAATGCAAAGGTCCTTTAATGATGCACTCTGGAAATGTCTTCTGACAAAGAAGTCTGCACTGACCAAACAACCACTGAATAGCCATACGTCAATCTGCAAATGAATACTCAAAGACGACAAGGTTCCTCTACACGCTGAGGGAATTATCTTGGCTAATGCGGAGCCAAGAGAATGATGTAACAAGACGATGCCGCTGGTGATCGGAGTGATGTTTCACCCCGATGTTTCACCCCGATCACTAGCAGAGATGTCAAGGGGACGTCCTCTGGGCACGAAGAACGTCAGAATAATAAATCCAACAGTAGTTGAGCTATTTTAGTCTTGGGCTAGTTGACTGACCCTCACTGACCACACGCAGCCGTTGCTCTGATGTCCTGTGTCCTGTGTCCCCCCCCCCCAGCTGACCTGTCTCGGTGTGTGTGGCTCCTGGTAGCTGGGCAGGATCTTCAGCACCACACTGCCGCTGGCCTCTTTCAGCATCTCCTGGAGCACTTTGGGGTCGTTGCCCACCTCCTTGGCGTTCACCTCCTTGATGATGTCCCCCACGTGGAGCAGACCTTGCTGGTCAATCATGCCGCCGTGAAGGATCCTGGCTATCACCAGCTCGCCGTTCTCCACTCGAAACGTCACTCCCTGCACACATGCACGAACACACACGCGTCAAAACACAAAAATCTGTTGCTAACAATAACATCAATTATTTAATTAGTTTATTACTTTTAAAACCAAATCTATTTTGACTTTTTAATACATTTTTTGACCTTGTATATTTAAACTTTACTTAGATTACTTTGTTTGACTCAATATATTTTTTGTGACATTTTTGCTAAAATATTTGACATTTTTGCCAAAATACGTTTTGACCAAATTATTTTTTTCATTTTTCTGAAATATTTAGTTATTTTTTTTCTGTGACTTTTTTTTGTCAAAATATTTTTTAAGATGACATTTTTTTAAACATATTTTTTGACAATAGTTCTAGACCAAATTTTTTTTTTTACATAACATTCTTCAAGTATATTTTGACTTTTATTTTAATGACTTTTTTCGACCAAATCAATTTTGACTTTTTCCACAACTATTATTTTAAATAACCCCATTATCCTGGGTGCAAGTGTTGCTTCCAAACCCCAAATCCTATTTATTAAGGTGCTTTATGAGCTGTCTACCCTGCTTCACTGACTAGAACCGGTGGCTCATTAACAGGGAAGACTTACGAGGTGCTCGCCAGACACCTTCCGGATGCCCACCATCCTGACCGCGTCTGGGGGGACAGGCTGGTTGTTGAGGGCTGCGTCCATGAAGGAACACGGGCTGGGGGGAGGGGTCTCGTAGTTTTTGGACGCCACCGAATCATGAGTCTCCAGGAGGGACTGTGAGCAGAGCGGGTGACACAAACATTGATGATGGCATCAACAATCAGGGTGTTTTCTTCTTCTACAACGATAGCGGGATCGTGCTATACTGTCGAACCACGTGTCCTCGACCAAATAGTAGAACAAATAGTTTAGCGCCACATGCATCCAACAATCCATCTTAGCAAAACATGCATCATAATCATCAAAAAGCTTTGGTTTGCTGTGAGATGGAGGACCTGGAAGTGAGGCTCCTTCAGGATGCGGACCAGCTCGTCCACTGCCCGGCTCCTGGCAGCGAGCGGGTTGAGCTCCTTGAGGATGTCCTGGACCAGCTCCACGTTGTTCTCCCTCACTGCCTCCAGCTTGGGCTCCTCAAACTGCTCATGGGCCTGGGATTTAGTGAAGACAAAACACATGTGACCTCGGGGTCGCTCTCCATAAGCTCGAGGGGCCTGGGTCTCCTGATTTGCTGCTACCAGTCTCTCAGAAAAGGGATCTGCGTCTCTCCTCCTGGTCACCTTCTCAGTGTTGATGCACCTTGCTGAACTATATCACGTGTCTTCTGCCTTCTGCAGGACGGTTGAATTTCTATTGACGGCACGATAACAAACAAACAAAAAGCAACCTGAAGCCAAATCCCTGCAGGGAGCAACACACACACTGAACTCATAAACCCGAATGAAAGAAAACAGAAAACAAACAAAACCAACACAAACTCGGGTCAAATCCCTCACTCGCCAGGTGTTTTTCGGTTTGCTGCTGTGAAACATCAATATTTCAGGGAACATTCATTCTTCACTTTCTCCCTCTCTGCCTCCACGGACCCAGAGGTTGTTTGACGTGACTTCACATCTCTGGTAGCAGGTGAAAGACACAGAATGAACCAGAAGGGAAAGGATAAAGTCATATATATATATATATATATATATATATATATATATATATATATATATATATATACACACACATGTATACATAACCACTGTATAAGATGCAAGTAAAACTAAAAAGAAAGAAAAAAAAGACCATAGATTGGGTTTAAATCCTTAAGATACACGTTGAGGGACTTTTATTAGTTATAACATGAATAATAATCTCAACAATGTGTTTTCATAATGTCAAAACAGTGCAGGGTTGTTGATAGAAACTATCTGCCGAGCACTGACAGCTGAGGCTTTATTTCATTATAGTTGCAGGACATTACTCTTCTTATTTGTCCCCACATGGACATCTCAGCCACGAGGGCTAATGGGGACTTCTGTGATAATAGAGAATGACAAAGCATTGTCATGATTGTATTCTGAATCTCCAGTAAATAGTACATATGGATTTCTGATTTAATTCTATTATTTTCCAGCGTATCACGTTTCAGCTCTAAAGCTCAGTGGCTGCTGCAGTAAATACACCTTGTTTCTGACGGTGGCTGCTGGAAGGTAATGTTACTTAAACTTACTACTTACTTACAGGACGCTTCTTCGTGGTCAGCGCCATGAGCACAAAATAAAGCGCACAGGCTTTTGTGCATGATTTCTGATTTTCACCACTCCAACATCACACAACAACAAATATGTTTCGCACAAACTGGTTTGTATGAAAGGAGAATTGATCATTTGGGAATCTGCAGCTCATCTACAGCCTGAAATTAGGGTCAAATGAAGTGTTCCACACTAAATGTCTGAAGGCTGAAGGTATCAAGAGTCTCCGTCAGAGACCCCCCCAGCATTAGCGGCTGGTAACGCAGCGCTGCTGGGGCTCTCGTGCGTGATGATGGCGGGCGCCTGTTCATCCTTCAGTCATTCACAGCGGCGTGTCGGGGCTGATTGCATCGTTCTGCAGCGAGTGTGGTGCAATCAGGACAATTCACTGAAGTGGCCGTGCCGCATGCACACACTGCGTCCCCCTGTTATGACTTTATTTATACTCGCAGCGCATTAAGTGAGCATTTATAGACCCACCAGGGGGTCAAGCTGGAAATCACAGCAAACCCTTGATGAAGGCGCGTTGGCGCGTAGCTCGCGTCAGCAGACTAATCTTCTATGGTGATGCTCGCCGACGTCCATTGCATGGACACGCACAGAGCTCTTCATTAAAAACCAATTGACAAGTAGGGACGCGTGTAGCAGGTTCTGCATTAAGCAGCGTGCTCCTCGCTGCTCCCCGTGGACTTTTCCATCTTCAGAGGTCCTGATCAGAAAGGCCTCTGGATCACTGGAGGAGAACGCCCACGTTTCACCTCTGAGTCTCTGAGACGTTGCCCGGAGGAGCGATTCATCTCCGCGGGAGAGACGAATGCGATACCCGAACGGATGATTCATGCACGAACCATGAAGGAAAAGGCACAGAATGCATCACGTGGTCAGCGGCGTGTTGTGAAATTGTGCCTTTGGGAAGAAGCGGGGAGATGACGTCATCCACTCTCCTCCCTCCCGACTGTGGCTCAGATGTGGTTTGAAAGGTCAGAATAGTGTGGAAGTATTATCTTCATATTCGGCTTTACTGTTTTACCCGTGGTTATTCTTCTTCTATACAAACAGACAACGTCTGAGTGCTCTTGGAATAACTTCCCTGATGTGCTGAATGAAAGCACATCACAAGCTTTCTGCTTCACTGACACCTTCAACAGCCCCTCAGACAGGCAGATCTCTTCTATTATTATTATTATATTACAGGTAATTGCCAAGAAATATCTTTGCCTGTTTTATCCCCTTTGAGTTTGAGCTTCAGAATTAGATTCTTCTCAAGCTTCTGACATGAAACCGCAGAGGAGAGTTATGAAATGAGTCAAAGCCGCGGGAATCGGTGTTGGGAATCGGGCCACTGACTAAGAGGGGAGTTGCTAATTGGATATTTGCATTCGGGTTTTCATCTGAATTCTGCTGTGAAGCAACATCATTAATATGGCGAGGACAGTTTCCTTATTTTGTTTAATTTCCCTTTTAAGAAATTAAATCCGATTCATATGTAAAGTGAGGATATTCTTTCTCTGTGAAAACATGAACAATGACTTGTTAGAAGTTACGGGTCGGCGTGAAGGCGGGAAAAGGAAACATGCAAATGATGATTCAGACAAAAATGTACTTAAGTTGTAAATTTGCATGCGTAAAACATCCTTATTTCTGCAGCTTATATTCTGTATTCCAATCTGAATGTGACCAGCCCGTTCTGTTGGGTTGTTGGTACTTGTTACAGCTACAAGCTCTGGATGTCTGTACGCTCACACGGACTGGTGCTGTTCTCACCACCGGGCTCTCCATGATGCCCTTGAGGAAGATGAGGTCCAGGTCGTTGGCAGTGGTGGAGCTTGTGCTGTCACTTAGTGTGTCCAGGGCCTGGTGCATGGCTACACACACACACACACACACACACACACACACACACACACACACACACAGGGAAAGCAGATATTCAAGTTAGCCGTCGGATAATCACTGAATAGAAGAGTGAGTGAGCAGCACATTTACAGTAGTTTACACTACGTGACCAAACGATTAGACGGAGCTCCCCCTCGCCCCCCCTCGCCCCTTATTTCTGTCAGAAATGACAGTATATTTCATCCATGACTCCCCAACCCCCTCCCTCATGTGCACACGTCCTCACACACAAACACAAACATGTGCTCCGGAAGCCACAAGCAGTTCGTGGTCTGAAACAGACGTTCCTGGCGATCCACACACAGACCTCTGGCCTTCATTTGGGACGATTTGTGTGTCATGACTATGTCTCTGTAGCCCAGAAAGGTTTCATTCAGCCTGCTCTATTGACAATATAAATAAACAGAATTACATTTTTGGACTCCAACACTATCAACTCAAACCGGAAATGTTCTCTAATCCACTCATAATTATCCTTTTTATGATCAAACTCTTGTTTCAAGTTGATATTCTGTGCAGCGCGGTGTGTCCTCCTCATTAAAAGAAAGCCGGAGGAAATACATTAAGCTAATTAGACTAATACGCCTTACGTTTCTTCTATTTTCCAGATTTGCGCCTGCCAGACAAATAATTAACTTTTCCCGTTGTTAGTAGACGTGTGGGGAATGCGCTCATATTTCCTCATTGTTCTCCTCTCCACTTCGACTCAAGCCCCAAGCAGACGTTCAAATCGTTCCCCGGCTCCCTGCTGTGCGTCAAGGATATCGATGGTTTCACAGGACTCACCCGAAGGTGCTGAAGGTACCGCAGAATAAAACACGGCATCGTTCTATTATTCATAGAGATCATTAAGAATCCAACACGTCCTCCTTCTGTGCTCTTTGTCTTTCTCCTTCCTGTACAGATATATAATATATATATATATTACATATAATGAATATATTCACTGGATGCATCAGCAAAAGACAACATGGGGTCAATCGTTCAGACAGGAAGATACTTTGCGTGATAAAATACTCAATTAGACTTTTCTATCCTCTGAGCCTCTAGAGGTGAGAGCTTCAGGCGAAGTCACGTTTCGCTCCAGTGACCCTGCCGTAAACCCCCGATACTCCACGCGGTAACGTGATACCATCAGAGAACGCCGTGGAGCGGAGGGGCGGGGCTTATGAGAGCTAATTGAGAGCCAGAGTGCAGACGAGCATAAAGTGAGTACATCGTACAGGGTTAACTCCATATGTTCATGAGAATGACTAGTTTTACACATCTCGTTCTTTAGCGTAATGAAAGATCCCAGAGAGACCAGACGGGTCGCAGTCAACAGTATTAATAAGAGAAAACTGCCATTCAAGCTTTAGGGAAAAGGATTGAAAAGAGGAAATACTACTTTTTCTCTTGCATCCACTACTAAAGAATGGAAGAATTCATCTCCAAGGTGAGCGTGAAGCACATGTAAACACATGAGACTCCCGTTAAAAAGGAGCACATGTAAACACATGAGACTCCCGTTAAAAAGGAGCAGGTGTAAACACATGAGACTCCCGTTAAAAAGGAGCAGGTGTAAACACATGAGACTCCCGTTAAAAAGGAGCACATGTAAACACATGAGACTCCCGTTAAAAAGGAGCACATGTAAACACATGAGACTCCCGTTAAAAAGGAGCACATGTAAACACATGAGACTCCCGTTAAAAAGGAGCACGTGTAAACACATGAGACTCCCGTTAAAAAGGAGCACATGTAAACACATGAGACTCCCGTTAAAAAGGAGCACATGTAAACACATTAAAAAGAGTCTCATCCGAAAGGCGAACTTGAAAGCACTTTACACTCAACTCAACGTGGAACCCTTCTGGGCTGTTGTTGTTTGTGGACGGAAAGGCGCAGCGGGGAAACACGGGACCCTCCCTTCAAAAAGCCGGCACTTAGAGAAGGATGTCCCTGTTGCTATGGACCGGAGGACGGGGAAACGCAGGAGGGGAGGGAAAAGGGGGAGGGATCCTCTCGGGACGTGAAACTCCGGGGAAAAAGCAGCTGACTCTACTTTCTGACAATAAAAAGAATCTGGTCTGGGCGAAGGTCTTGAGCTTTAAACTCAATTCAACGTGTAAATTTATGGGCAAATGCTGTTTGTGGAAGGAGCGCATCGGAGAGACACTTGCCTAACATGACGGGACTGTAGATGAAGGATGTCATGTTGGTAAGCACCTGAGGCTGGGGCAATTAAAAGGGGACGCAAATGGGAACGCAAAAGCACTTTACGTTAAAACAGGGGACACGTGTAGTTACATGATACGTCCCGTTAAAAAGGAGCACGTCAGGTGAACGAAATGAGACGTACCGTTTAAAAGGATGAAGATATTAAACATCATTAAAAAAAGTCTCATCCGAGCGAAACTTGACGAACTATTACGGGACTCAACTCAACGTGGAATCTTCTGGGCTGCTGTTGTTTGTGGACGGAGCGTTGCGGGGAACACGGACCTCTCAGCCGGCACTTAGAGAAGGTTGTCCTGTTGCTATGGACCGGAGGATGGGGAAACGCAGAGGGGAGGAAAAGGGGGAGGGATCCTCTCGGGACGTGAACACAGGGGACAGCAGCTGACTCTACTTTCTGCCAATAAAAACAATCTGGTCTGGTGAAGGTCATGAGATGAACTCCTTCAATGCAAATATAGCAAACGCTTTGCGTAAATGCGCATCGCAGAGATATTTGACGAACATGACGGGAGTGTTGCTGAAGGTACATTCGGTATCTTCATGTTGTCATTTGATGCCACATATTGATTAAAACCACTTTAATATCAAGCGCAGAGTATTTTCACGCACGTGGAAGCAAAAGAACCCGTGAGGGAGTAAACTAAACTAAGTGTTTGCAATATTGGTGATTTAACTTCTTTCTATGATTCTCAAACACAAAACTCTCTCTCTATTACTCCATAATGATCTCAAAGCAGCAGGTGGTGTCGTCGTGTTTTCTGAAACACACTTCAGTCAGTCTGGAAAATGTACTTTAAATTCATTGTGAAGCCAGAACCCCCCCCGAGGGGGAAATTGACAGTCGGTGGCGCCGTGACCGGCTCGTCGTTAATCAGGTGTTTTCAGATGCTGCGGTCAACGTTAAGCTCCTCAGCGTGGAGCAATCACACCGGCTTTTACCTCTGGATACACCGAAGGATTTCTAAGCAGCGTCTCTTGAAAAACTCATTGATATTCCTGTTTTTCCATCGAAGTTACTGCAGTTTTATTTCTCCATTAAAATGACAGAAAAGACTTGTTGCTGACACTGAAACTATTTAAAAATGCCAAAAGCATGTCATAAAATACTCTCGGGCCCTGACAGACACTATTAAATACTTCATGCTCACTGCTCTCCAGCTCCATATAATTACTACCAGTCCCTCAGGTGGAGACAGACCATCCTTAGATCGGGGTGGAGCAGTTCCTGAGACCGGAGTAGATGTTATGTGCGATTATAATCGTTTGTGACTGAAGCATCGAGCTCTTCAGAAGCACCAAATAGAAATATAATATAAATAAAACAGCACGTCATCAAACGACGTAATTAAAACCCTGTTCTGTGAAGGCTGAGGCCCTTTGTACCATCAAGGAAACGGGAAAGAAAGCAGCAACTCTCATCTTCGCAAACTGTAACTGACCTCCTCCCAAACGGCACGACGAGGGACTCAGTTGGTCTGAGCCGTCCCGTCGCCATAGCGACGCTTGTCTCACCATGTCCCATCACACCTCTGTCCGCGGAGAGTCTGGGCGAGTGATCGTTTTTTTTGGGGGAGGTGGGGATGCGGCGGACTACAAACAGGTTGATGGACTGAACTCGCCGCTAGCACAGTTAGCACAGTTTGTGTGTTTCCCCGGCAGCAGTTAGTGAAGAAGCAAACAGAGATTGCCGGGTCACGATACGGATGAAGTAATTGCCGGTGTCACCGCGTTATACCCCCCCCCCCCCCCCCCCCCCCCCCCCAGCCGGCACTGAATTAAACTGCCCCGTTCTCTGGAAACCAGGCAATTATCTTTGACGGCTTAATCCCACCAGCGCGTCGCACTCAATGATCCATCATGTGTGTTTGAACACGGCTTCATTAGTCCAGCAGGAACACACAACATTCCTCTCATAGTGTGAGGAAGAGAGTGTGTGTGTGTGTGTGTGTGTGTGCGTAGAGGGGGGTGAAAGTGATATTTGAAGGTTGTGAGTCTGACGCTTTCGAGCGTGCTCGCTGTGATCAGAACGCTGCTGCATATGAATGACCTCCCACCTACCCGCCCTGAATGTACAACGCAGAGGTCCTCCTCCATGTTCCCCTCGGCGTCTCTGTCTCTCACACACACACACACACACACACACACACACACACACACACTGAACTGATAGACGGGAGGCAAATGCTTTGACGGAAGTTGTGATTCATCACGGCTGTCGCCGCTGTCTTGTCGAGCCTCGTCGCGGAGCCGAGGACGTCCTGCAACGTGATCTACTGTGTGACAAGCTGCCGACCGGGCGACGAAGTAATGATGCTTCTGATCCGAGCTAATGCGACGTGACAACAAGTAGATGTAAGCGCTAAAGCGCCCACAAATAGATACGGACCATATTACCGCGTAGAATAGCATGAAGGATTTATGAACTCCATCAATAATGGATGCAATGTAGTTTCTACCCCATGCAGGGAGAGCTCACGTTATCACCCAACGCTCAACATGTACTTGCTCATCTTTTAAGGACTTCTTATCTTCACTTATCAAAGTGCATTCCAGCGTCTCCTCCTGCGTCCTCTTGCTGTAACTTACATAGGAGAATATGTGGCGTGTTGTCAGTCTCTTCTTGTCTCTTGTAGTCTGCCGCCTCAGATTCCTGCACACCACATGCTCCCCTGGGTCCTGATCTGTCTCTGCTCATCTTCATCACATCGGGAGCAGGTGCGATCCAAATTTAAAAACACCAAATAGCCGCCAAACCCCCCCCCTTGTTCCCATCAGCACGTTGCGCCGCTGCTTTTGAACAGGGATTCGCCTTTCTCGGCTTCCACGCGGCTTCCGTAGAGCGCGTCCTTCCCTAACCCGGCGGGCGGACGAGTAGGCTGCAGAGGTCCTGGCGTCGGGAAGCGGGCGGGGGGCCCGTGTTCTTACCTTCTCTGATATCCAGGCCCTCCAGGGAGTTGGCCGAGTCCTCTTCCTCCAGGGAGAGCCTCCCGAACAGGCTGCCAGCCATGGCGAACAACACGCGCACTCACAGCGACACCGCCAAACACCCAGGTCTCCTCCTCTCTCTGCACCTGATCCTCTCCTCGTTCTGGTGGAGCAGCTCCTCGCTCTCTCCTCCCTCTCCACCTGCTCTCGTGTAGAAGCTACGCCTGGCTGAGCGTCTTCGCCTCCACGTGAATGAATGGAGACGGCAGAGTGTTGTGTGCATGAGAAAATGGGTGTGTGTGCTGTGGGGGGGGGGGGAGGAGGGGGGTGTTAGGAAAGAAAGAGGGAGGAAAGTATGATGCTTTCCCTACGAGGAGGAGGAAGGAGGCGGGGTGGTTTTCCTCCCCGTGGGGGAAAGAGCAGCGAAGGGCCGGCTGGTAGGAGGAGGCTCGGTTCTCTACGTTCTCTACTGAGATACTTTAAGCTCCTCCCTCTTTCTCTTCTCCCGTCATCTGCAAAAATAGCCTTTCTGAAAACGCCGCGTTTGAAGTAAATTCACGCGTCCGTTCGTAGGAACAAATTTACTGTGAGTCACTAAAAATGTCCTCCAGACTCCAGACTCGGCTGGTGTACAAATCCTGACGGAGCGACAGCCCGTTAAAAGAAGAAACCACCCGTCAGAACGCCACGGAGCTTTGTTGGACGCCTGGTTTCTCAGGCTGTGTCTTTTCAATCTTTGACGTGAGGAGGACACGCGTGGCCGCATCGCTCCGCGCTAGTTTACTTTTGGCAACGCGAGGTGCGCCGCGTCTCAGTTCCTGTCTTCATGGCGTATTTAAATGATATTAAATGAGATCTTTTCTTTAACTGAGACCGACAGAAGAGGCTCGATGTGACGCTGTGGGCTTCACGACGTCGTCGTTGATCGGAGACGTTTGTGTGCATGTCAGTGCACACGTGCACAGCGGATCCTTGGAGGCACGACGGATCTCCGGCTGGAGGTTCAGCGCTGCATCGGCCGGCTCACTGAGTCACATTGGATTCATGTCCCGAGTGCTGCGATGCCCGCGGACCAACGTCTCCCCCCCTCTCGTCTCTCTCTCTCACACACACACACACACACTTATATACCACACAGCGAGGGCACTTACTGGAGTCAGAGCCGGAAGTCGCCACGGGCATTTTAAGAATCGGTTCCTCGCCGTATCCTCCAGTGAACTTGTTGGGTCGCTGCAATGAAAGAGAGCGCAGTGAAAAGTCTGATGAAGTTCTGATTGTTAATATGAGCAAAACCCCCTCGAGGGCAGAGTCCAGGTTCAAACGAGGGACGGAGGGTCGGAGCTCTGAGAAGTTCCATAAACAGGACCAACTTCTTTCTAAATCCACGTTGGATAAACTGCGTTTCTGCGTAAAGGCCCTTTAAGCGCATCCGTTAACGCGGGAGTCCAGTCACAATCGCCGCGCACCTGCAGCGCGTGCACCGCCCACTCTTAATCTACGAGCTCGCGCAAACGGCAATTGGCAATCTAACTTGATCAATAGCTATGAATAGAAGAGCCGGTTGCTGAGGAAACATCCAAACAGTCTCCGGCGCCGTGACCACAGGGAGACAGCCGCCGGCAACCATTGGGAGGAGCGAGTGAGCTCTGGTGGACGCGTGGACCAGCGAGGGGCTCCGGGTGCCTCCAACTGATCCATTTGACGCCGGGAGGACAGAAGAACGTTAAAGACCAAGCGTCTGTGCTGAGATTCTAAATCGGGTGGAAGTTTGTAACATACAAAGTGAATAGATATTAAGGGGTGAGGAGGATGGAGGAGGAGGGAGGGTACCAGAGACAGACAGTTGGGAGGAAGATGAAAAGATGGGAGGAGGCCGGCAGGAGGAGAGAGAGAGAGAGGGAGAGAGAGAGAGGGAGAGAGAGAGAGAGAGAGAGGCAAACAGTGGGGGAGGGAGAGCTCAAACAAGAACAATGGCGAGGAGGAGAGGAGTGCATCTGATGAGGGAGGCAGGAGGTATCCGGCGATGCTAATTCCTGGTTGCCATGACAATAGCCATCACTCGAGGCACCGGCGGTGCGATGGGCAAAACCCAGTAGCACCACCACAGCGTGCTCGTGGTTTATATTTACCTCGCTCTCTTCAGCTTATGTAACACATCTATGTCTCTTAACCCACATGTCCTCATGTTTGGAATAGTCCGACCTGGACTTTTGGTCGGGTGTGGGCCACTTCATCAGTTTAGTAACCCGGGGGGGGGGGGGGGGCGAGCTCTGCTGCAGGACTCTGCAGATCAATGCGGATCAGGTCCCTAAGTCCCCCCCCGGGGTTTATCCGTGGCACGCCGTGGAATGATGGGGCTCGTAAAGTATGCAGAGAAAACACATGCGGCCGCTGAGCGGTCAAAGCCGATCGCAGCTTAGCCGCGCCGGTGGGGGGGCGGGGGTGGGGGGGGGCAGGGGGGGTGAAGGGGTGTCGTGAGGCTGGTGTGCTGCTGTATTAAAAGACCAGAGACGCAACGTGTAGGTAAGTGATGGCAGTTGGCAGTTGGGTCGGTCTGTCTACAGTAACATCGTAATATAGAGGAAAGCACACACACACACACACACACACACACACACACACACACTTCATCTCCACACTGCCAATTAAAACACGAGGCAGCTGGCTGTGTTGTGCGTGTGTGTTTTTGTGCATCCATGCAGCTCTATAATTGTATTTCTAGATATGTTTTTTTTCCGTTTCTAGCCTCAACAAACTGACGAGTGACGGAAGTAAAGGTCAAAGTTGAGCTCTTAGAAACGTCCCTAAATCTCCAGGGAATAAGTGACGCATTGTACAGACGGAGGCCCGTGAGTTATTGGCTTCGTGCTGCGCTGCACACGAAACCCATGTGGCTGCTCTGCTAATCACCAAGGATCCTCGTTGGTTAATTGAGGGAAGATGCTCGTTTGTTTCCCTTTCAAATCGCGTCTCAGCCCGTCTGGACCAATGACAGCGGAGGTGGACCAGGTGTTTGTACGTGAGGAGCCGACCGCTCGTCCCAAAGTCGCTCTGCATTAAAGCCAGTTAACGTGCGCGCACACGCGGCCAAACGCGTCTTAATCCACCAATGCAAGCTGGTCGTGTGGCCTAAAAATAACCCGGCGCTCCCACAGGTTCAGCTCCTCTCGTTACTTTACGAGGGAAAACTGTGGTATCCAAGACAACCGCGAGCGGCGCTCCGTCTTTTTCCCCCGGTGCCTCGCCATGGCAACAAGGGAAAATGCGTAAAATAATAATAAGTTGGAGCTGGAATTGGGTCTATTAATAGAGCTTCAATACAGATTTGCTCTTTTTCAGGGGGGGGGAGGAATTCCTTTCAGGGTCATTGCTGGAGAAAAGGAGAGAAGAGAAGGAAACAGATTGCAGCGTTCACACAACAATGAGCTCTGCAGCCCGACCAGCTCCTACGAACCGGCTATTATTTCGGCTGCTGTTGCCTGGAAGCAGCTCGTGGCACATCTCTCTGCACGGCGGCTCCTCGCAGAGGAATCAGTTCAATACGAGTTTTTATACCAAAATGTCAGGAATATCTCAGGCATCAAGTATCTCGAGTAAACAGCCTGTTTATGCGCCTCTGTGGTCAAACCAAACATACTGCACTGAAGTCCTTCTCAAAAGATAAAACGATTGACTGAGTCTCTCCTCACATCAGCAGCCAGGCCGCTGCACACGCGTGTGGGAAACACGGACCACGAAGTGCGGAGGTCTTTAAAAAGCGCCGCCCGGCCCGACTGTTGTCACCAATAAAAAGGTGTTTTAGATTCCCTGCATGCGGATGAAAACACGCGACGGGCGGTTCTGAGAACATGGGTGGAAAGGAGCGCGTCACGTATGTTCCCCGTGCGCAGAATGAGCTCAGATGGTGAATGATTAACCGTCAGCTCCCGGGAGACTCTCAGCGAGAGTCGAGTTCTTCGTCCTCTGTGTCCTGTTGCTCTCTGCGCTTAAAAACAGTCCTTTTTCTTCACAAACGGCGTCATGACAAACGAGTCAGTCACTCGACGCCCGGCGTCTAATCACACGGCCTCGCCGCCGCCGCCTTCCCTCCGCTGTAATGAATGAAACGTCACGTATACGTACCACCTAGAGGGTACCCACCCCCCCCCCCCCGTGGGGAGCGTTTATTTACCCCGCCCGCCCCCAACGCTCCCCTTGTCCCTCTTCTTCAGAGGAAGCGGCCGTGGTGAAAACAAACGTCCCCGATTCAATGTCACTCAAATCTCTGGAGGAACAAGTCTGAGCTTCACAGAGCGAATCACTTCCTGTGGGCCAACGGGGACGCGGGGGCCCTGACATGTGATGGTTGGGGGGGGGGGAGAAGAAGAGTCCCAGAACGTGACACGAAACACGAAACAAATGGGAATCAGACGCTGCTGTTTGACCATTGTCACGATCAAAGTGATGGATCCTAGGTCACATGACCAGGCGCTTTACAGACGTGAGGACGCAGTTACGCATATCGACCTCACGGGGAATCAGACAGAAGTTACACCAGATGCCGGAACGTCAACTCATCTTCGTCCTGCGTGAATCGCACAGCAGAGAGTTTGAGGTCTAAATGGGGCCGATATCAAAATCCTCCCTGCTGGTGGAGTCAAGGTCGTCGGTCTCTCTGAGGCCCGTTATCGCCTCACCGCGCTGATCATTGATGCTCCGGGTTCATTCAAACTGCGGTTGAATATTCACTGAAAGAGGTTCGAGCGAAGGAGGACATGAAGTTTAGAGCTCGACGCGTTCACATTTGGCAAAGATGCTGCTGCTGCTGCTGCTCGTCCCCAAAGCTGAAATTGATGGAAAACCTCCCACTAATAAAAGAACCGATAAGAAGGCCGGCGTTATAATTGAGACCTGCTTGTGCTTTGATATGCAAATGTCATTTCACTTCTGCGAGAAGTGACTATAAACCAACTGAGAATTCACATTTACATCCAGCGCGACGCTGAATACGTGTCAGTGTGCTACGAGGTCACCGTCTGAGGGAGCGGGTTAGAGACACGCCACGATCCATCCAGTCTCCCACCGCGGAGACGGTTAAACAAGGCGCACCAGTTGTTGTTTAAAGGAATCGGCACAAATGAATGTCTTTTCTTTCCTTTGTTTAAAATGCAAATCGCACACTGGCTGGTTTTGGTAACTGCCTCTAAAAACCATTTTAAGGTGATGATGTGACCCGGGCGTCAGAAGGCTTTGAGATGATTCCATTCTCCAGTTTCTAAGATACAGAAATGAAGAACCGCGTCGTGCTGAAATAGAAATGTAACTCGCCGGGTGTGAAAGCGTTCACACCTTGTGTGGAGTTTGTTGGATTGTCATTTGCTCGTCAGTAGCTGTCGCCGTGGAGACGTGTGTGTCATACGTGTGCCAGGAGACACGACTACAGGAGATGAAGGGACCGGAGGAGCTTTGTGGAGCTCAGGGATCGAGGAGGTCACGATATTTACGTTGGAATATAAACATTTATAGAAGAAAAATGAAAAGGCGATCACAAATAAACCCACATTTAATGTAATATTACAAGAAACGTGGTTTGAATTCTCTTAATTCGGGTTTAAACCATTTGGGATTAACTGACATTCATCGTTCAAGTTCCTGCTCCCACGCATCCGTGCACGCGCAACGGAACCGAACAGGCACACGACGCCCGTCGCGTCACGAGCACGAGCTCATTCTTTGAATGGGTTTCAAAGCGCGTCGCGGGGCCGCTGATTGCACCTTTACACACAGGTGGAAGCAATCAGCCCGCGGCCAAACGGGCCAATTAAACCGCCGTCAACAGAAAACGTCACGCAGGTACGGCGCGCGTGCTGGAGGACGGAGTCGCCGTCCGGGGACGTTTCCGGCTGCGCGCGCGCGCGCGCGCCAGAACGACGCCACGCGGCGTTCGGAGCCCGACGGGACGCGCTCGAGCTCACCTGTCTCCGCGGTGTGTCCGCCGGTCCGTCCGCTCGGGGAGGCTGAAGCTCGGCGGGTGAATTCAATCCACGCGGCCACCGTCACGGCGCCGAGTCGCGCGCGCGCGCGCGCGCACTGCGGTCCGTACCGCGACCTCCGCGCGCCCTCCCGCGCGCCCCCTCTCCGCGTTCAGGCGGCTCCTCTTCCCAAGAAGCGCGTCCGCGCTGCGTTCCCGGCTCCCTGGCGTCCGATGGCGCGGCACCCCGGGGGAGACGTGGAAGCCCGTCCGCTGCACGTCGACGCAAAGCCGCACGAGAGGAGCGAAAAAGAGCCGCCGAGTGCGAGACGCGCGTTTCCCGGTGACACAGCGGCCTCTAGCGGCACGGCCGGTAACTACAGCTGTAAAGGAAAACCACTCCGGAGCGTCTGTCGGTTTTAATACTTTTATTCCCTTAAACTCTTTTATTGTAAAGTGATTTTGATACAAATTATTTACATTTACGTCCAAATAAGAAATAGATGAATAGAGATTCGCATGCACATTAAACAATTAAGTGTGGAGGGTCACAACGTGCAGTGCAGGTTGAGGAGGTTTTGGGATCGTTGGTTAATCGAAGGGTCCAGGTGTGGCTGAGGGTCCACGGGCTCGGTTACCACTGATCGCTGTAGTCGGGGCTGGGAGGAAGGAGAAAGTGCAGGTTGTGGTTAAGTGAACTTCACACCCGCGGACACATCACGACCAGCAATAAAGGCTGTAAATCCACAGTGAGACGAAATGCTTTCCAGTATCACCTGAAGGGCACATTGTAAACCACAGCAATGTGATGGAGGCTAATATCGGCATTTTCTATTGCTTAGAACCAGGGTGGACGACATGCACTGTGTAACAGCCCAAAATGATTTCATGTCAAATCCTCCTCGTGATTCCCTCACCGGGGCTCAGCGTCTTGGCTCGAGTCGGCACCGAACAGCATCCACTTCACCGCCTGCTCGGGGGTCGACCTCTTTCCGTACCTGAAGACAAACAAATAAAAAAAAAAAAAACTTAACTCTGAATATTCTTTGGGAGATTGTCACAGACGCGAGCCTCCCGGTAGCAGCGGCCCGGTGACCCCAAAGCCTTTGCAGTGAATTTCAACAATAGTTGTTTTTCAAGAACCATTGAGTTGTCGTTTCTTCCCCCCCCCCGCCTGCATTGCCTCTCTACTCAACCTCTATGGTCACAATCACAAATCAATTTGGCAATTATCAGAAAGAAAATGAGAATTTTCAAGTTCACAGCGGGAACAACAAGCTTTGGCTTTTGAAGTGTCTTCACTCAACTTCCATCACAGGGGAAGTTGACCCCCGCGATGCAGAAGCACCAGAGACAATTCATGATACCAAGCGCTCTTTTTCTAAGATGAGCCACTCAGCTACTCAGCAGGGGCATTCTGCTTAATAACAGTTATCACATATAGCAGATGATGTGAAAGAACTGAAACATTTAAAGAACCATAAAATATAAAATATCCTGCCACGAGAAGTCTTGATTGTTACCTTTTAGGAAAATAAATGGGACGTTCCAGTTTCCTCCTCCTCAGGTATGAACCCTATAAACTCCTCTTCCTCTGCCTCATCATATCTCATAACAAGCACAGCAGTGATCCGTTGATTCGTGGTGGGAAACGGGCCTCTAAGGCTCCACCCCCACCACACGGGAGGAGGCGGAGGACGACCCGTCCGACCCGATGGCTTCTCACCTCTGCCTGGTGATGAGGTTGACGTAGTGCCGGACGGCGGCGTGGTATTTGGCCCAGTCCTCCGGCGAGGCGTGGCTCCCCGGGTTCTCCGGCTGGGGAGGGTAGGCGTCCGCGAAGCCGCTCCAGCACACCAGCAGGCAGACGGCGAGCGCCGCGAGCGTCATCCAGGGTCTCATGTTGGCCATCTGAGGAGACGAGTTTACTTGCAGCTCGGCGACGTGCAAAATGTCTTTAAAGTATTCAAGATATAATATGAAAATACATGAAGTGAATCGAAACGGACACTCTGAAATCTTTCTAGGATGCTGTTAGAAAATCAAGATGCACAAAAGTCTGAGAAGAGGAGCTCACACTTTGGGTCGTCTTCTGATGTGGCGTCCCCGGTGTCGTCCTGGTCTTGCCGTCTCCTCTCAGTCCTCAGGGTTTTATAGTGCGGTTTGGTACCTGATGCGCGCTGAGGAACACTTAACCACACCCCTCTCCCCCCGGCAGCTGGTCTACAGCGGAAAGTTCTCTCCGCACGATACTCCACAGGGTCACGCTCGTTTAGAATATTTGGATTTTGGGGGAATTCTGAAGTTTATTCTGACGACTTTTTCCCAGACGCCTTCTCTCTGTTTTTCAATGTGAAGTCTGAGATTTGTGGGTAGTTAATGTCTCTGGTGACAACTTCCCCAATTCCATCCCCTTAAAGAAGATGCCATTTGAAACAATTTGACTATGAAACAAACATGGTCTCTCCTGCACCACCAACAGCACGAACCCCTGAGCGGATGGAACGTTTGAGTCGCTGCTCCAAACCCTGCAGGCGTCATGCAAGTCAACTCGCGCCATTGAAGTGAAGACCGTCGGGAGTCGCGCAGGAGGTCAGAACCCTGAAGGCCAAACAGACTCGACCCCCGAACTGTGAGATGCAGTAACACACAACACTTCGACGTCCAGCCGTTGTGTAGTTATCAGGGCCTCACAAGGTCAACCAGCGTTCTATGCTTTTATATTCCACCACGAGAAATAAGCCAATGTTTAATTCCTCCTGTCAATCAGGTTGAATTGGTCGCGGTGCACGAGGGCCGTAATCGTTCCAGTAGTTAAACACACCCCAAAAAACTATGTATGTACGACACAGACACGTGTTCATGTACAACTAAGCGTGCGGTAATTGTGGTTAGTGCGTTTATGTGCAATGCGTCTTGTACGAGGGGATCAGGCAGCACTCGTACCGCCTCACGCGCCGCCGACCGGACGGACCGGCACATTTAACACACAAATACCTTTCAGGTCTCTGGAGTGTAATCGGCCCCATTTATGGCCGCCTGTTGATCTTGGATCTCCTCACGGTCCGCTGTGCGCCGCCGCAAAGTCGCCCCCGCGTCCGACAGACAGCGAGGCCGCCTTAGCGTGCGCGCGGCGAGGCGGGTTCCGGCCCGTTTGCACACACACACACACACACTTTTATGCCAGAAGTGAGCCGTGAAGGAGTGCTTCGTTTACAGTCCCGCTGACAAAGATCCGCCGCGTGTTCGATCATTTGAATCAAAGGGACGGATCCGCCGGAGGCAGCAGGCCTCTCGGGGGCCGGCGTTGTTTATGGGCCTCCTTTGTCGGCCCCTTAAACCCTTGTCAAAAACAAAACTTGATTTAGGCGTCAATCCCCGCTGGCGGCCCGGAGCTGCTGCCGTGGACCATAAACGTCTAAAGTGTATATGACCCGGTCATAAAGAGGATGGCGGTGCTGCACGTCGGCGGTGCCGAGCCATTATTGGACCATAATTCAAACTGATATTGAAGGGACAATTATTGTGCTGCTGTTTTTACACCAAATTGCTCAGTTTTAATCTGGCGAGTTTGGAAAAGAAGGATAAGAACCGATAGCGACTAAGTAATGACGACATCATCTCCCGTTCTAGAGAACTAATGTTTCCTCGGTCGTAATCGTTTCCAGCAGCTACCTGCGGCCATCAAGACCATTTAGTTCATTCTGCTCCGGTAATCGGCCTCCGCGGGCCGTAAAAGTCAATGACAAGCACAAGTTTGCACAAGACAAACTCATCGGCTTCCTCCGGCGCGTCGGCAAACACCGAGGACGATAAGGGGGAGACGGCGCTTTCAGTCCGACGAGCTCCTGCAGAGAAGCTCGGGCCCCGACGCGATCCGAACTTCTTGTACCGTCTGAGACGAGAGCAGGAACACGCGAGGCCTCCGCGGCGCTCAAGCGGCTTCACGCGTGCCGCTCGGTCCAAATACAAAGCAGACAGACACACGAGTCCAGTCGGACTCCATCCCGACCCAACGGGGGGGAAACGATGATGGGTTTTTTATTTATTTGGCCTTATCTTCAGACTCGGGGAGCCGCTAATATGAGCAGAGTGCTTTTCAGGCACGTCTGTTTGCACAGCTCGGGACACAGGGGGGGGGGGTGAATGGGGCAAATGGGCTGCCCGCTACCACAGGGCTGTAATTCGGGCTCTGAAAGGGGTCGGCAAACAACGTCACTGCTGCTGGAGATCAAAACCGTCCCTGGACGATGGCGACGCGGGTCAGAGGTCACCGGGCGAAGGAGCGGTGGCTCGTTCTCATCACTAACCACCCATCACCGCGCGGAGGGACACCGAAGAGAACCGCATGATGAAGGAAAAGGTTTGTTGGGGCCGGCAGCAAAGAAACGTCCCTCAATGTGTGCGTGTGTGTGTGTGTGTGTGGGGGGGGGGGATCCATCCTCTGGGGACCATGACAACTACACGGGCAACAGCAACACATCAAAGAGGGAATGAGAGATTTCAATGTGAAGAGCAGAGTCGTCGGCGGCCCTGAAGGAGCATCAGCAAAAGAAGACGCAGCGTTTTGATGATTCCTGATGCGATCGGCTTCTTTGAGTCGGTGATAAACTTGAGCTCAACGACAGATTTACTCCATTTTCAACCAGGGAGCCGAGTCCTCGTCCTCCGTCACGCTGCTTTTCATCTCCCGGCCGCACGGACGCCAGTAAAAATAAACCAGATTAAAGTGCGGTTGAGACAAAAGGTCTTCATCTCCGGAGCTCCGGCTGCATTTCCCTTCACAAGTGAGATGAATGATGTTAATCAGCCCGCGGGGCTCTGTGCCCCCCCCCCACAACCCCCCAGCTGCCGCTATAATAAAGCTTTCTGCCTCTCACCTGTCTCAAGCACACGACGGGATAAAAGCTGCACTACGATTAACGATCCTTCTCGGAATAAAGAAGCATAACGAGTGTGTAGAGAACGAGCCGGAGCTCTGAAGACGTTCTTTTAATTCGCCGTGTGCATCAGACGCCATTTAAAGTTGCATCATTTAAGAACATTATGTTACGGTTTAGTAGTAAAACTGAGCCACATCAAACACAACAACAGGGCTTATTAATAACATTCTGAAACTAAAATATTAAAAGTATTCACGTAAACGTTACAACGGTCAGATTCTGTCAAAGCCCACAAACGTAATCAACATAAAGCCACATTAATGCTCGTTCCTGTGCCACTTTAAACGGTCGATACAAGTCGCCGTTGCAAAGAAACCCAACGTTCACAGATCTGAAGCGTCTTTCTCCAGAAACGTCTCCACCATCTTGGGCAAGAAAGCTTCCAGGAAATGAAAGAAGTCGTGGAAGACGCCCGCCTCGTCGCTGATGGGCTCCAACGTGAGCACCGCCTTCGTGCTCTCCGTGCCCCCAATCACCTGGGGCTGAACCTTGACCTCCAGCGGCCCCCCGAGCTCCGGCTCCTTCTCCGCGATGCGAGCGGTGACCTTCGTCTCCAGCGCCACGCAGCTGCCCTCCGGCCTCGAGTCCGAGTCCTTGACCAGCTCCCTCCTCACCCTCCGCCGGCCGGCCCACACCGCGTGCTTCTGCACGCAGATCCAGTGAGGCGGTTCTGGCTTGCGGCGTTTTGACAGCCGGGGCTTTTTGCCTTCAGGCGACTCGCCGGCGTCGCTGCTGGACGACAGCGGCCTCTTGGCGCCGGCCACGGCCGCCCCGGCGCCCTCGCCCTGGGATCCGACGCTGTCGCAGCTGTCGTTCATCGACGCGTTGAGTGACCCGGGGGAGGTTTCCGCGTCGACGAAAGACTCCGCGCCCCAGGCGGCGTCCGCGGAGGGAGCGAGGTGACACCCGAGGACCCCCTTGAGGACGCCCTCCACGGCGCAGCAGACCTCCCGAAACCACGGCAGCCGGAAGCCGCCTCCCGCCGCGCGCAGCCGATCCCGCAGCGCCTCGGGGAGCGACGCCGGCTTGAAGGGGATGCTGATGGTCAGCTGCTCCGCCGGGGACTGCGGGACGTCCCCGCGGGGGGTGAACAAGCGCACCAGCCCCCACGATTTCCCCTTGGTGGACTTGCGCTGGTACTGCAGGCTGCGGCAGTACTTGTCGGCCTCCTGGCACTCCCGCTGGAAGCCGCGCTGCGAGCGCTCGTTCAGGTTCCCCGCCACGTTGTGGGAGAGATCGAACGGGTCCAACAGACTTAGGGGGCCCAGTTTGGGCCCGTGGAGCTTGGTGGGTTTTTCCCCCTCCGGTTGTTCCTGGCTGAGGAAGTCGGTGATGGGGAGGGCGCGCCCCTGCCGGAGGGATATGACACTACCGGCGAAATCGAACTTTGCGTAGAAGGTGAAGAAGCCGAAGAGCAGCGTGCCTGGGGAGGGAGCAGAGCGACGTCAGCAAAGAGTTACGCCCCCGCGGTCGCATTGAGGGTGAACGTTCCCCGCTTAGTTACGCGGACTTACTGAGGTCCTGCGTGTTCCTGCTGGGCGGCACGGCGATCGGCTGACTCGGGAAGGTGCAGTTCCAGCCGTCGATCACACACTCCTCCTCCTCACCTTCACAGGTCAACACAACGGTTAGCAAGCAGGTTCACGGCACACGGTAAAGAAAAGCCTCCATGATTCCCTCTTGATCCTCACAGGGTGAAAACGACTGTGTTTCCAAAATTGCAGTTTAAAAAAAAAAAACAACAACCCCAAAAAAGGAAAACCGATGACGACTCTGTGAGCGAGCAGCTTACGGCGGCGCTGCGCGGGTTCGGGAGTTTGGTACCGAGCGTCCGTGCTGCACTTACAGGCCATGTCTCTGAGCCGGTCCACCGTGGGGAGCACCGGGGGCTCACAGCGCTGCAGGAAGAAGACGACCAGCAGCGTCAGGGCGTAGTTGTTGAGCAGGGGGCCGGCGCCGCTGGGATTTCCTACACGTCAACATTCAAAAGTGTCACTGTGTTGTTAACAGTCGATCAGCGCATTAACGGCATTAACACGGTGTAACGGAGTGGAGGGCTTTGTTGTTGCTTTACATCAGCGAAGTTAAGTCAATCGTGCAACAATTCAGCCCTCAGGTCAAACAATGAAAATCATGAAACCCAGCAAACAGAACCTACTTCTGATCAGATTATTTGCTTTTTAATTACTGCTAATCACTCCCCACACTCGCCTGGCTGTGGCTCATTAACGGGAATAAAAGAAGTGCCGGGAGAGTAAAAGGTCATTAGTGCGTGAACACTCTTGTACATCAGGGGACTCTTCTGTTCTATTACGACACAGAGACGCGATTGAGCCAATTGTTAAACCACAGCTTCCTTTAACGACTAGATCTGAGAGCGCTGCAGAGCCGCGTGTTCGGATCGTGAGTAGAGTTCCACTGACCTCTGCTGACCAGAACTATAAATGTCACGATGTGCGGATTGGAGCCCTTACCAGCCAGCTGCTTCTGCTTGGCCCAGTGGCGGATGGTGAACACGAGGGGTCTCAGCCTCTCGTCCATCCCCGAACACAGCTGCAGGAAGCGCGTGTTTCTGACAGCCAGTCTAGAGATGCAGACGGGACGAAAGCAAAATCCAGATCACACACACACACATTTTTTTTGTAGAGCTCTTTAAAATGAAAAGGTTACTCGAGTCGCTGATAAGAAAATAAATGCAATAAACAGAAAAAATCACGGGTTGACAGCAGATGAAGCCGCGTCGGGGCAGTGGGGCTGCGGGTCGGCGCAGTGTGTGGGGGGGGGGGGGGGGGGCATCAAGGGGGCATGGTTGAAGGACCTGTTGTTAATGGTGATGTCCCCCTGCAGGTTGAGCTGGTGGTGATGGAACTTGACCACGGGGAGGCGAGCGCCGCCGACCACGGTGACTTTGTGCGCGCTGGGGACACAGCGTCGAAGGATCGCCGCCACGAGGTCCAGGACCTCGGCCGCGGAGGCGGAGGTCAGGTCGATGTCCGACAGGATGGAGTCCTCGGAGCGGCCATCGTCCGACGTGCCCTCCCCTGCCTGGAGCAGAAAGGATGATTTCACGCGTACAGGCGCTCTGTAAAGTCACATCCTTCACTGCTGCGCGTGTAAAAAAGGCCAGACCTGTTCTGCAGTGGACTTGGCTTGGGCCTGGAACACCTTGGTGTTGTCCAGGTCCAGGAAGAGGTCCAAGTCGCAGGAGTGCACGCCGAACGTGTTCACAGACGAACCGAACGGCTGAATCTGGCTGTCTGTCGAAAGCGCGAGAAAGAATAAATATTTCACACAAGTGTCACCGTGTTCCCAAACGGACTCCCCCGAGTGCACGTTTACAAGAGATCACCTGGAAAGAACTCCACAAAAACCTCCTGCAGGAGTTGAACCAGCAGGCCTCGGGCCTTCTTTTCGTTTTCTCCCAGCTGGAACCGCTCCACCACGTACTGCACCTGTGCATTCACCTGGAGCAGAACCAAGGACGACAGCTACAGCGAATCCAAAGAAAATATGCATATTATAAAATACTTTGCATTTCAACAAGACATGTTCTCACAGTTCAGTCCCCCAAATCAAACCACACACACACACACACACACACACACACACACACACACACACACAGGGTTTTACGTCGATGCTTACAGACACCAGCTGGCACAGCGGCGGTTTGAGGCGCTCCAGAGCTTGCTGCAGGTTCTGAGACGCGTTCTTCTTGGGGATCAACTTGAAATCCTTCTTTTCTCGGGGTTTGACGCGTAGCTTCAGGCCTCCCATCTGATGCTCCACGCGGGACAGCGTGGCCTGCAAGCTCTCCGTCTCGGCAAACTGCACGATGGCGTACACACCCTGAGAGAGAGAGAGAGAGAGAGAGAGAGAGATGGGGGGGGTCGTCAGTCACCTTTCATATGCTGCAGGCCTGCACCTCCACCCCCGTGCCTGACGGACCTTGTCTTTGTCCATGACGACGTCTGAGACGGGCCCAAACTGCGTGAAGTACTCGGTGACGTCGCTCTGGGAGACGAGGGGCGTGATGCCGCTGACGAACACGCTGTGCCGCTCCTGCGTCTTCCGGGTGGATCGCACGGTGCGCAGCGTCTGGTGTTTGCGTCCCTTGACATGCTGATCCACGCTCGACTCTGCGGGGGGTTCAAATACAATACGCGTCAAGTAAATAACGTTACGTTCACTTTATTATTGTTTTAACATGAGCCGAGCATGTTGCATCGCGACGTTACGGTGACGGTATCGTTGTATTCCGTCACAGTTCTCGTTAAAAGTGGTGGAAACGTGCCGGTTGCTCGCGAACGAGGGGGCGCGTGGAGCCACAAAGTGGCGTTGGAAGGTGACGTCATGTGGGGGCCGACGTTAGCTGCCCGGTACTTACGGTTCGGCAGGTTGACGTTGCACAGGCCGCACTGGAACCCTCTCGGGGTCGTTTTTATGTCGCTGTCTGCTTCCATAATGTCGGAAGAAGCAATGAATCAACCGCTAAAGTCGTCGGGTCTTCATGCGCCTCACAGTCAAATCTCCCTCCAACGGACACCGCGCGTTGGTTCCGAGTCCGTCTCCATAAGCGGTCCGGGTGGAACATAGTTTTTATCACCAAGTTCCGTTAGACGTTATTTATTCTCATATTCATAAAGAATATCTAACCAAGTATTTATTGGTGCGGATATTTCATATCCTATCGTTGACTTATGTTTAGATTTAAAGAAAGATGTCTCAAGAGCTTTATTTTGAAATCAAAAGACTTTCACCTCAGGTGGTTTAAACTACACTAAAATAACAGTTCTACGAAGGCTGAGAATCAAAACTTTTAATTTATAAAAGGAGATTTGCATCTTGATTAAATACATTTGTTAAAGCAGTCCAGTCACTATACGCCTCACTCAGTCAGCTACCCATCTTGTAACATGTGTTTTGTACTGTGAGTGAAACCCCACTAGTCCTCTTTCTGTAAGACTTCAGACCCAAAACACCACAAAAAGCAAATGTGACGCCGTCTCCCCCGTCGGTGTCATCTTCCAGAGCGGACTTCCAAAAGGAAACTAACAAGGTCCTAGTCAGCAGCTCGGGGTCTGTAGCAGTAACATGTCAGCACATTAACGTCTTTAAATCCATCCCGTCAATTACTAGTTAAAATTTGTCATTTTCACCACAAAGAAAGCTGCACGGCCAAGAACACCAAAATAGTTGAAAAGAAAGACATTAGTCAAATTGTCGTATTGTACAAAAGATTTAATTTGTTTTTTCCACCATTAAAACATTTCTAAAACCGCCCAATAAACAACTTGACACAAAAACAAGATTCCCTGCTGTATTAAAGAAGAAGAAAAAGCAGTGCTTCATTTTCAGTCTTTGAAACTTTTTCTAAAATGGAGTAAAAACAGGTTGAAAACTGGGGGAAACATTGTTACAATGAAGAACATCTAAATACAAACGCTTCATTTCTTGGCTGCTCTTCCTCTTCGGGTTTTGCTTTCCCCAGAGCCCGCGGACTCTGCTTCGTCAGCGGTTACCACGGCGACCATGGGCGCCCTCCTGCTCTTCTTGGCGGGCTGAGCTTCAGCAGCTTTCCCTGAGAGATCCTTCTCTTCAGTCGGGTCGGCGTCCTTCGCAAGGTTCTTGCTCTCGGCGTCGACTTGGCCTCCAAGTTTGGACTTTCTACCTCGAGCCGCCTTGACCGGCGTTGCTTTCGGAATTTCGACAACTTCCAGCTCCGCCTTCCACTTGACGGATCTTTTGGACGTCTTCGTGTCTTCGGCAGCAGCCTCGCTGGGATCTTTGGCGGCTGCCGCGGGTTTCCCTGCGGCCCGTCGGCCCCGTTTGGCCGGCGCCACCGAAGCCGCCGCAGGCTCTGGAACCGGGACCGCGGCTTCTGCGAGAGGCTCCTGCGCGAAAGGGGCGGCGCCCCGGCGCGCTCTCTTGGCCGGAACGGCTTCTGGAGCCGCCGGTTTCGCCCCCCTGGCCCGGCTTGGTTTCATCACTGGAGCTTCTGGCTCAGGTTGATTCTTCTCTTGGTGGTCTGCTCCTACAGAAGTGGCTCCACCCTCTTCAGGAGCTTGTTTCCCTCTCTTCCCGCGCTTCAGTGGGACCTCTTTGACCTCAGCCGCTCGACGCCCTCCTCTCTTGGGTTTGGCTTGTTCGGTCACCTGCACTTCAGCCTCCTCTGGGACATCCATGTCAACGGCTTGGACTTCTACGTGCTCCTGTTCTGCCTTCCTGGTCCTCTTTAATTTTTTGGCCGGCTCCTGGTGTTTAGTGGCCTCAACTGATGAAGACTCTGGTTTTTCCTCCTCTTCCTGTTTAGCAGTTCTTCCCCTCTTGGCCCTGGCTGGAGGCTGAGGCTGCTGCTTGGTTTCCATAGCGACATCCTCCGCCTCCTCGCTTTGTCCAACAGCATCGGCTTTGGGCTTTCTGCCCCTCGTGGGTTTCTCCGTGGACTTCTGAGGTGGAGCGGCTGCAGCGAGCGACGCGTCTTCCGCGGCGTCACTTTGCTTCACGGCGGCTGGTTTGGACTTCCTCCCTCTGGGGGTCTTCACCACAGCCTCCTCCTGGGGGGGTGCGGACTCCTCTTCTTCCACTGGAGCCGTCTGGTGACTCACAGCTCGGGCCGAGGTCTCCGTCACCTGTTCAGGTTGATCATCAGCGGCGCTCTCCTGAGGCTTCGCTTTTCGGCCTCTCGTTGCCTGTCGGACAGCGGGGGGGGCGGCGGCGTCGGATTTCTTGCCTCTTCTGGCTCTGACTGGAGCGAGGACCACCGCTTCATCACAGGCTTCTGCTGCCTCGGCTGCAGGAGATGCGACGGTTTTAAGCGATTCCTTGTGGTCGGGTTCGCTGGCAGTCGTTTCCACTTCTGGGACTTCGACAGCAGCCGCGTCCTCTTCAGGACGTTCCTCAGATAACTTCTCATCTACTGCTTCCACACTGGAGTTCTGCTCTACAGCCGCTCCACACTTCTCCAAGTGGTCATCAACGACGACTTCATCTAGATTAAGACAAACAAATAAATGCGGATAAACAAGAGAAGACTAGAAGGACAAATAGCTGTGTCAGTTTTTAATTGTGTGAGAAATGTTTAAACCCAATGGAGATGATTAGTCAACGTACCCTCTTTGTCAGCTTGAGGAACATCTGCCACATCTGACGGGACGTCGTCTCGTGGCCCCTCGAGGGCAAAGACCAGTTCTTTAAAAACAGAAGCAAAGACAAAATCCCCCATCAGCTCCTCCACTTAACGCAGTTTACGCCCTCGCTCAGAGTGACCTCATCATTACTGCAGCAGACCCCAGATCAGACTGACCTCTAGCAACATCCTCCTCGCAATCCCGGGCCGCTTCCTCTACAACCTAAAACACGAGGAAGAAAAACAGATGAAGAAATATTTAGACCATCAGCCAGTATCACATCTTGCAATAGTTAGTGGAATAAAACCAGCATCTGTCACAACGGAACGAGTTCCTGTCCAGTAGCAGCGTTTCCCACCGACCCGCGTTGGCTTCATTACCTCGCTGGCCTCTGCGTGGGCCGATGGTTCGGTCCGCAGCTCTCCGGGTCCCTCAGAGACCTCCAGCGGAGCGCCGGGAGTCTTCACGAGTCTCTCGATACCGAAGTCCTCCTCCACGGCGTCGCCCTTTTCCCTGGGAGTCTTCATGAGCCTCTTCAGGCCGACCATGTCTTCAACCGGCGCGCTCTTCTCCTTGGGGGTCTTTGCCATCCTCTTGCCGGCCGGGGGGCTCTTCACGGGTTCGTCTGGTATTTCAGGAGAGTCTTCCGGTTCCGGCACGTGCGCCGGCGTCTTCGCGAGCACGTCGGCGGCCTCCGGCGCCTTCGCGAGCACGTCGGCGGCCTCCGGCGCCTTCGCGAGCACGTCGGCGGCCTCCGGCGCTTCGACTTCGGCGAGGCCCCCGGGGTGTCCCCCTCTGCTGTCCTCCGCGGGTCCGGCTTCCTGTCGGGGAGTCTCCATCATCCTCTTCACTCCGCTGAGACGCTCCTGCTGTTCGGCCTTCTGCTTGGGCGTCTTCAAAATCTTCCCCCGCAGGTCCTCAACGGGCTCCGCTCTCTGTCTCGGCGTCCTCATCATCCTCTTCACTCCGGTGAGACATTCCGGTAGTTCTGGCTTCTGTTTGGGAGTCGCCGCCGTCGTCGTATTCTTCAACTGCTCGCTGGATTCCTCCGCGGCGTCTCCAACCAGGCCGGGTTCTTGGTCGGTATCGAAGAGGCGCTGGACCGCGTCGCTGCTGTAGCTCCGGTCTTTTACTGCGGAGGAAAGGGTGAGCGGGGACACCATCATCTCCCCTGTAAAGCAACGAGAGACATCATTAGCTTAAATCTGACAAGGCCTTTGGCCGTAACACACCACCAGCTCCACCACCGTACCCGGCTCCTCCGGCGTGTTCAACACCGACGGCTCCACCACAGACGTGCACAGACTTCCTGCCAGCGTCTTCAGGCCGGCGCTCTCCCCGATTGCACAAGTCTTCCTCCTCTCGTTCGCAGGGGTTTTCAACATTTCAGAAATCCCTGAAAACACGACAATTATAATAGAATTAGTTACATGTAAAGTGCAGATGACTTTACGAGAGGATCTGTCCGTTTGTCGGGTTGCAAACAGTCAATTACCCGTCAGGTCCTCGTCCATTTTCAGTAAAGCGATATTGGGGACCAGTTTTGGTGCAGCGGCAGCAGGCGGTGGGACTTTTTGTCTATGAGCCCGTCCCACCACGATGGTAACGGGGGAATCGGCGTGCCCGGTGCTGACGTGCACGCACAGTTTCCTCGCAGGCGTCTGAGGGGATTAAGAGAGAAAATGGTGACCACGCAGACGTCGCCACGACACGCAGACATCACAGTAACAGCTGAGATGGTGTTTGTCTTTACGATAAAAGTAAATGTACCCCGTTGGCGGCGTCCTTCGCCTGTGGTTTGGCGACCGCCTTCTTCGCCGTCTTCTTGGCGACCGTTTTTTTCGCGGGAGCAGCCGGTTTGACCTTCGTTTGTCCAAATCGCACAATCTCGGCCCAGGAATTTTTGACTGGAAAAACAGATAAACATCACGAATGGCCAATGATGTGAAGACGACCTCCTACGTGGTCCAACGGGTGGATGCGACAGTCGAATGCTTTCAGCAGCAACACGTCGAGGACAACGTGGACACCCTTTGGGACGGACAAACAGTTTCTACGGTCGAATTCCAACGCGAGAGACACATCACGCATTTCAGGGTCCAACGTACTTTTCATCGAGGCCCGTGAGATGCCACTTCTGCTGCGCGAGAGGCTCCTCCTCCTCGGGGTGACCCTGGGAGCGCCGTGGACACAAGGCCCCCGTTCACCAGCAGCATCTTCAGCAGCCGGGGACGGGGTGCTGATGAGCGACACAGAGAAGCGCCCCTGTACAGTGGGAGACCTTCCTCTGGCCGGAGATGGGCTCTTGGATTTAGGGGACGTCTTTCCAGACTTCGGAGACGCATTCTTGCTCTGCAAACACCAAGAAGCGATTTAGAACGGGAAGGATTAAAGATGGCGCGCACTAGTCGAGTCACCCGCCTCCCTCCTCCAGGTCACCTGCGGCGGGCCGGTGGCGGACGCTCGTCTGAGGAGGGACTGCCTCTGCTGAGACACGGACAGGCTTCGGCGCGGAGCGGCTCCTTTCTGCAGCGGGGAGTTGGGCGGCAGGCGTTTGTCGAACAACTCGGGACACAGCGAGCCGCCAAAGGAGACGCGCTTCCTCTTCATCTGCGACACGGGCAGGTCGCCTCCCAGCTCGTCACTTTTACGCTTTCTGGTCATCACTTTGACTGCGAAAACCAAAAACACGACTGCGTCAATATCAACACCAGACGCACGCGAGCGCAACACGACTCCCTTCAGCCAGAGAGTCTCTTACCAATCTGCTCTGTCCCGGCACCTTCTGGTGATTCCTTTCCTAGACGATCCACTTTAGGAGAAGTAACTGCCTCCTCCTCCTCCGCAGGTTTGACCTCCTTGCTTCTCCGTCTCACGGGGGACTTGGGCGATGCGACCTCGCACGCGGTGAACCTCTTGGGGGGTGTCCGGCTCCTCTTCGGCGGAGGAGCAGCCTCACACGCGGCAGCGTTTCCGGCCGGGGTCGTCTCCGCGGAAGGAACCGCGAAGGACCTCCTTTGCTTCTTGGCGGACTTTGGCGTCCCGTCGCTCGCGATTTCAGCCTCCGCCACGGTTTCGTCGGCGACGGAAGAGACGGCCGCCTCGTCCTTCTCTGCGGTGGATTTGTCCTGCGTGGAGGGGACGGGTTTGCCATCATCCCTCCTGACCGAAGCAGGTCCCGGGGTGCCGAGCCTGGAGGTGGGCGTTTGGGGAACGGTGGCGCAGGACTTGCGAGGGGTCTTGACGTCGAGGGACTGTTTGATCATCTGATACAGGTCGCTGAAGGGGGAGGCCGTCTTGTTTTGCGGCAGCTCGTCGGCCTCGGCGGGGGCCTCCAGCGGTCGCTGGATGTTTTCGTGGTTAGTTCCATCTTTAAGATGAGGGTCTTAGAGTAAAAAAAAATTAAAAAAACAGAACGGAACAAACGGTGAATACAGGCACCAAATCCCAGAGCGGGTCGGGACAGGAAGTCAGTACGATTTATTACATCGTCACGTTCGTATTCTACGGTGTTTATGCACACGGACTGTTAATTGGGCAACGTCATCTTCATATACAAAGAGTCTCACCCGTGGACACGTCAGAGGTCCTTTTTTCTCCAGTTTCAGTGGTCACTGCCGCCCCCACTTGTTGATTCTGAACCTATGCACGAGAGACTTCCGTTAACGCATTTATAACACAATCAACCGCTCGCTGTCGTAGGCAACGTCGATACATGGAGACGGTCAGACTGCACCAGTGGGAAAAGAGAAGCGTGTTCGTTACTTTGAGGGTTTCAGTCTTGCCTCCGATGGAAGACCTCTTCTTCGGCGTGGGCGCTGGAGGGAACTCAAACCTGAGGTGACAAGCGGCAGATAAGTGTCAGAAGGAACCGTGTTTCGTCGCTGAACAAAGTGGTAACGTTTCAAATAACGGGTTCCGTCTGAAAACGTCCTGCCTGTACGACGCACAGGAAAATATGAGAATCCATCAAGAAAAACCTAAAAGGGCGGGTGTTGCCACGCAGGACTGTAAAACTCAGCACGGTGATTATGGAAATGTAAAAATAGTGCTAAATTTTATGCTTAAAGCGTCCGGTTAAGCGAGTAGATGTTGAAACTCAGATGAAGTAACTTGGGCAGAACCTCAGTATACAAACGGCAGCAGCAACAGAGCTCTTTTCTTCTTCTTCAAAAAAAGAATGCTCATAAAGATCATAGTGCTGAATGCTGACAGCGACAAACTTATTTGGCGGCTACGGAAGGGGAAGGCAAGTGTTCCGTTTGCACTCACCTGAAAGAACGGTCAATGACAGTTATCACATCTCCGTGCTTCAAGCGCTCGGCTTGCTGCAAAGCCTCTCCGTTGACACGGGTCGGATTCACCGAGCTCAGATTGGTCAAAATGATCTGGGAGAGACAAACACGAGCAGCACCATAAACACTGTTAAAGACGCCCGTCCACGATGAACACGGTTGGGTTTTTTTCCTGGCACACGGTGATGTAGTCATGATGTTCAGAATGTGTAGTTACCTCTTTATTTTCATTAAAGTCGATTCTGCAGTGCTCCTTGGAGACCTGAGGAAGCTGAATACGGATGTCGCAGTCCGGCTTCCTGCAAGACCACGAAAACACGCGTGTGAACGTATAGTGTCACATACTACATGCTGACGTCACCAACAGAAGGCCCGCCCCCTGAACTGAAGGGTTTTTACCGCAAAAGCTCGTGGACATGAAGACACCTTATAAACGTCGGCTCCGACATAACATGTCTGATTAACATGCACGTAGTGCACGTTTACGTCTTCAGATTGACATCAACCAAATGCTGCATTTACGTCATAAAGTTCATGATGAATAAATCCAAACCTTCCAAATAAGCACGAGGCCGTGAGAGGAAACTCGGTCCCGTCTCCTCCGCTCCTCTTGATCACGACTATCTTCCCGTGCAGCGGCATTTTACAAACGTTACCTGCAAACAACCGGGAAAAAACACACACACACACACACACACACACACACACACACGTCAAGACTGCACGAAGCGGAAAACACAACGTTAACGTTACAACGCGCTTCTCCAGAGTTTTACCTTCCGGAAGAACAACTTCCAAAGATCTCTTTAACGGCGGTGAATAATGTTTCTATCCGACGTATTTTTTACTTTTAAACAACCGGACGTCGTAACGTAACGTGAAAACGTCCACGTTAAAACTCACCGCTGAGCGACCCACGTGCGACGCCGCCACGATGCCCCGGTTGTAAATGAACGCAATCTGATCACAAACGTAATGTCAAACGTGGGACAGAACTGTTAACTAACAACTAACTACACAACGTGCGTGTTTTTCGCCGCTAAACGTGTAACGGAGCGAGCTGCGATTTAACGAACGTTACGCGGCCCCGGATTTAACGAACGTTACGCTCCACGTCGAGGCGCGTTTGCGACGCCTGGGGGTTTTAAAGTCTCACCTGGAGGGCCTCTCAAAGAATCGTCAACTTCTGGAGGTCCATAAACATCGACCGGGGTGTGACAGATAGAAGGCCTACTTCGGTATCATAACGGACTAAACGTAGTATTGCTCCCCCGCGATGCCCGACGACGTACCTCGACGGACGGCTAACAGCTACCTAGCGCCGCCTGGACTGCACTCGCCGCTTCCAGACACCCGTTGTATCCCTCCGCCACACCCCGAACACTCAGTAAACCTCAAAACGGTCACGATTAACCGACGCCTTTGGGGTGAAACAAACAATGTACCGATTGCACGTGATGTGTGTTACGCCTCTTCGTTTCAGCGTGCAATTTAACCCACGTTTACGTGGAAGGGACTATTTTGTTTACATGTTTGGCGGAACAATCTTACCCCGCTAGAGGGAATCTGATTTGAAATTGTTTGAAATTCCGCGCGAAGGCTTGTGATTGGTTGAAACGTCGCCGTCGACGAGGGGGCGGGGCATACGCTTTCTCCAGGGCGAGGACTGGTCCGATCACTGTGCTAAGCTTTTGGCACTTCCAATGTTCTAAACATGTATATTTGTGTCTATTTATATATATATATATATATATATATATATATATTATTTTATTTATTTATTTTTTCTCAAAAAGGTAAACATACTAATATTGTGTTATGCGTTTAACTTACATTATATCAAAGTATTCAGTAGCAATCATTTATTGTACAAAATCAACAAACCAAGAGTCAATGACCCAAGAGACTACATTACATTACATTACATTACAGGTCATTTAACTGATGCGTTTATCCAAAGCGACTTACATTACATTTTTAACCCATGGCATTTTTTTACATGTTTTTTGGCCCGGGGAGCAGTTAGGGGTCAGGTGTCTTGCTCAGGGACACTTCGACATGGGGCAGCCGGGACTCGAACCTTGCGGTTCCCAGCGCGTCCTCTCTACCCCTGCGCCACGTCGCCACGTTACTTTCACTACTTTCACAAAAGGAAAATTTCAATGCCGAATAAAGCACAGGCGCATTGTCCATTTAAATATGTGTTGTTATTCAATTAAGTGTTCGTGGAACAGAGACATATTTGATGTTATATGTGCACTTCAGAATTTCTGCTATAAGATTTGAAAACATTTGAACATCTTTTATAGACATACTAGCAATTCATTCTAATCTCCCGAAACAAGTGTTCATACATGTGTAATGGGGAAATAACTGAATCTTTTCCCTATTCTCTGTGTGCCTTTCATAGTAATCGCCATTATAGACGCTGGTTGTCAGATCAGGCGTGTCAGCATGTTTTAAAATAATCCATTGCAGGCCTAAAATTCATAAAAGTCCTGATTTGTATGCCTGCATCTAATCCAAAACATTTGGTAACAATTACTCTGTGCTAATTGTGTTGTATTTGCCTTGCAACCAACTCCAGCAGTGAACACAACACATTTCAGAAACAATAATAATGTTCTGTGCACTATGTATACGGTAAACTAACCCGTATGCAATAATCTGTAAACTCAAGCCTGGTTCTGGATGCAGATTTCTTTTCCCAAATATGTTCTGTTGTATTCTTGTAAAACTGAGGATATGAACATGTTGCTCAATAAATAAAACACAATGGTAACTGCACAAAAATCCCTGAATGTACCGTTTTGATCATCAGTGTGTTGTACTGTAAATAACCTTTTTAGAGGAAACAGTTACCTCTCGTTTCACGTTAATGTTGATTGAGGTCACTGTCATGAGGATTCTTGGTCTGGTATTTATTCAGTGAGTGATGGAAAATATAAAACATCTGATAATAAATTACAGAGTGTCCTTGTTGTCCAGCTCTTCATTGTGCTGTTGTTGCTGCACACAAAGGGCTCCAAGCTTCCAGAAGGAGTCACATGTAGTCAGGTCCATAAATATTTAGACATTGACACAATTTTCTTAAATTTGGGCTGCGTGCAGACCAAAATACCTTCAGTCCTTTCAAAAGGGAAGAGACGCCTGATTTGGCTGTAAATACCCTAAAGTTAAGGTTAGTCTCTTGATTTAAAGTGTTGGTTTATTCCCTTTCAAATCCATTGTGGTTGCGTAGAAAGACACATTTATGCACCTGCTGTATGATAAATTAAAAAATACTGCGGAAACCCCTGTGGGAGGAGAATAAAAAGAATGACACACTGGAACAACACAAAACTCATTTAATATTAAATGTCTTTATTTTTAAATCTTTTTTGTTGTTTTTTTTTCTTTTTTCCAAAGTCGCTTGATAATCTTGACAAATTGCAACATCTTCCATAATTCTCAAACTGACGGTGTGTCTCTTGCTGTTCCAGATTCGCTGTGGAGGGAAACGTTGTGCGCCGTTGCGGACGGGTGAAGTCCTTAACGACGAAAGCAGCTTTGACCGTACAAATAAAACGATGAACAGACCGGCGCCCGGCGTCCCGTGTGGCGACGCCGCGGGACGCGCGTGGTTCTGCGCAGGTCCTGGTCCGCCAGAACAAACAAGACCGAGTGACCGAAGAAAGAATTCAGGGGCTCAGTAGCAGAAGTGTGTGTGTGTGTGTGTGTGTGTGTGTGGGTGGAGGGTCGGGGGGGTGCAGCACAGGGCGTAGAACAGGCCAAGCACACTAAATGATTCCTTCCTGAGACATTGGTGTGTGTACAGTAACGGTGGTCGACATGAAACGTGTGTGTGTGTGTGTGTGTGTGTGTGTGTGTGTGTTGAACGGTGAAGGCGTTTTGGCGTAAAGTGAGTCACAGGCTGCGAGGTCGCTCCGGATCCGGCAAAACGTCACTCATTCGTTTCTACCACAGGTTGCCGGGGGTTAGGGGGGGGGTGAGGGTGAGGGTGGGGGGCTGTGAGGACTTTGACAAACATCACATTTGGGACCTTCACGTGAGCAGAGGCATCACTACAATCGAGTCTTTTCCCGTCCACGACAGATTATCGATCCACTCGGAGACCACTACAGTGTGTGTGCGCGCACACACACACCATGCTTCACATTTGAACTCTTTGAGGAGGAGCTGCTGTGGCTCCCGGCTCCCGGCTCAGCATTTTCAGAAACACCATCTCTTTCTTCTACGTGGCCAAAAAAAAAGCTCTGCCCCGGCTGGAGTGCTACTTTGTCATTCTACTGTAAAAACACGTTTTCAGAGTGAGGGGGTCCGTGGGTGGTGGGGGGGGTCTGTGATAGCCACATTCTGAACAGCCAGTGATTGGTTAAGGGCCTGTCCAGTATTTAATAGGACACAAAACATGAAAGAACCTCCTTCAGTAAAATGTGCTCAAAATATCACAAAGCTATAAACAAAACACGTAAAAGTATTCTTTAAAAAAAAGAAAAATCTGGTGAAGCCTAAAACTCTTCATAGTTTTAAAGAAATGAATAAAGCTTATATACACAAACTCAAAGGCTAACTAAAATACACCGTAATAATGAATCTTCATTAATGTGATTTCTTGAAAGGACCGGTGACCGTATCATACAACCAAGTTCATACAATCAGGGTTTTTTTTCCATTCTCCTGGAAGCCAAAAAGAAAAGAAAAAAGGAAAACAAATCCAACCTGGAATAGTTCTATTCATCGCGACTTGTTTTCTGTGCACGTTTGTGTGTGTGTGTGTGCGTGTTTGTGTGTGTACATTGGAGAGAAATATCAACGTCTTTTTGCTCCTTGTTAATTGGAATAATGTACAAATGTGATCAAACTGAAAGGTGTCTCTTAATACTCTCGACGGGCGTGAAAAGATTCAAACGGTGGAGGAACAACGATGTGTAATCTCAGAAAACGTCCTCGCTCCGACCTGCCGTTCTGTTCTGCACATGTCAATCACAATAGTTCATTAACTTTCTATATATATTTATATATCTTCTGTACGAAATCTGTTTGTTTTTTTTAAGTTGGAAAAAGAGAAAAGACCCAGAGTCTTTGAGGAGGGGGGGGGGTCTTTAGTCCTCGGCTCGCGGTCCGCCTCAGAGCACAACAACAAAACAAAAAAAAAAGTGTCTGGTGTTTGTCGAGTCGTCTGTGTGCGTCGGCCCCGCGAAGCCCCGCCCACTCCGCCCACCACGGCCGCGTCCATTGGTCCTTTGGGGGAAAGGTGGCGAGGGGAGGAGCAGGGTGGGTGGGAGGAGTCATCAGCAGTGTTTACGGTGTGGTCTCCTCCCCCCCCCCCAACCAACCCCTCCAACATGGAGAAGGTGCTCCGCGCGTGACGGAAAGCAGATCAGGAGGTGGGTACTTGTGTCCTAGGAGAGGAGGAGGTTGGCTCTGCCCGTCTCCTGTGTTCAGCAGTCAGGTGTAAAAGCCCCCCACCCCCCCTCGCTGCCCCCCCCTCCTCTTTAGAACGTGGCGGGCGAACCCACAGCGCCGTGAGGGATAGTAAAAAAGGTGGGCCGCGACTACGGCGATTGTGTGGCTGGACTGCTTTGGGCGGAGCTGGGGGACAGACTGGGGCTGCAGCTGCCCGGGGGGGCGCCGCTGGGCCGGCCGCCGGCGGCGCCGCTTTCCAGACCCTCCGAGTTCTCCAGCATCTCCTGGATGAGAGGGGGCATGGAGCCGGGGATCTCCATCTTCAGCGTGATGACACGCTCAGCTCCTGCAGGGAGGGGGTCGGGGGGAGAAGGTAATTAACAATACCAGTTCCAGTCAGTCCCGTAAGCTGAGTCGGGGACCCACATCTGGGTTGCAGGATTGGCAGATTTCCTTCCATTGTTTTTTATGAAGCTTTATATGAACAGTACAACTTTGAGCCACAAGGGGGAGCATACAAGTTTTGTATTGTATCCCTGGTGTGACACTGAAAACATAATGAAAAGCTGGCACACTTTTATTTATTTGGTTTAAATGGCAAAAAAAATACATAAAAATATCTCTTTTACCGTTTCCACATCATCATCATTGGGGGGGGGGGGGGGGGGGGGTCCGGGACCAGTAGGGTGACTTGCCTCCACACAGCAAACAGATGGCGCTGAGCAGCCCCGTCTCCGCGTCGTCCATCTCCAGAGGCAGGAGCTGGTTGGCGAAGGCGAACACCAGGTCGGTGAGGGGGCCGAAGCCGGCGTTGTGCATCTGGGTTCGGTTTAGCGTGAGTCCATCTGAGAAGGTCATGGTGTCCTGCTCTGGCGTGTAGCGCGTACAGATCCGGAGTATCTGCAGACACAAACGGGCCAATTGGTTAGAAATTGAAGCCCCGCCCCTAAAATCAGTGAAATTGGGTGAAAAGCAAAGAGGAAGCTCAGCTCCTACCAGGATGTCCAGGCAGGCGGATTTGAGCAGAGTGATCTGGTCGGCGATGGTGAGCGTGGTGAAACCCGGCAGCTGCTTGGCAAACTCCACCGTCTTGATGATGCACTTGGTGGAGAGTTCGCTGAACTTGTCCCACAGGTCGTGGTCCAAAGACACGCGTCGTTCTGAGCTGTTAGTCTGGAAGGGGGGAGGCCAAATTTGAGACATTTCATGGATCCGTTCAGATGAACCACAGCGAACAGAGGCGGCCGAGGGGACTGCCGGCGCCGCGCCGCACCACCCACCGTAGTGTATTTGCCCAGCTGGCAGAGGGAGGGGAACGTCTCCTTGTGGGCCTTGCGCACCCTGTCGATCATCCGCTCGGTCTCGGGACTCAGCACGTAGCTCTCCGTGCACTCCTGCTTCTTCTCGTCCTTTTTCTTCTTATTGCGGTCATTCCTTACTGCTACAGGGAGGAAACGAGAGGGACGGAGAGAAAGGTCACTATATGTGTGTGTGTGTGTGTGTGTGTGCGCGCGCACAAAGAGCGTCACTTCAGTGGGTTTCCATCCGGTCGCTTCATTCTGAGAGAATCGCTGCAGTATACAAACAAACTCGTGTGGCCTGCGTGCATATCGTGACCACGCATGTGTCCTTAATAATAATAATATTTAGCCCGCAGGAGAGTTCGCTCTCTCTGCAGAAAGCAGCAGCGTCCCTCCTCTCGTGCGACGCTGCAAGATAAATGTTGTGAGGGCCTCGGTAATGGAGGGAAGGAGGAAAGAAAACCTCGAAATAATCCCGCGTGCTTTCCCCTCCGGGCGATCTGGCTGAGGACCGCGTGCTCACCCCAAATGACAAAAAACACCGGGCGGGGTGTTTAGCATTGGAATCCCATTACGGGGTCCATCCATTTCTCCTCCCCAGACTCAGTTCAGCTATGACTGGCTGTGTGTGTGTTGGGGGTGGGGTGGCAGTTGATAAATAGTGGTGTGGGATGGAGCTATCCATAAGGCTGACAAATTGCCACAGCTTTCATTAGGCGTCCCGGCTAATCTAATAACATAATATGACAAATATCCGGCCTCTAATGGCTTCAAAGGGCTCGGCAGCTCCGCCCGCGGCGGATAAAAGGAAAATAAGAAGAATCATCTTCCGGCTTCCTCTGCTGGATATACAGCAGACACTCGGATTCCTCCTCTCATTTCATTCTCCCCACAGCGCCCTCTCTCCCCCTTTACAAAATTGGGTTTTCTCGTGCCTTAAATCACCCCCCCTCTCTCAGCCATCTCTATCAGCCCCCGCAATCTCTCCCTCCCCCCTGCAGGTACCCGAGTTCCCCCCCGAGCCGCTGACCTCGGATCAGATTTTCCTTGTTTTAATCCTAACCTTGACATTAAGGGGCGAGAGCGCTCGGGCTGATGGGAGATCAGTGTCTGTGACGGAGGGGTATGGCCCGGGGCCCGGGGGGGGGGGTGCACCAGTTGGCGCTGCTGCTCATCCATCAGCCCCCAGGACAGGCCTCCCTGGCTTGGAGAGCATGGAGGGAGGGGAGGGAGGGGGGGAGCAGGAGGCCCCATTCTTCACAAATATTGCTTAACAGGAAAAGACCCCCCCCCCCCCCCTCCCACCCACAAACAACAGTGGGCCTGAAGCAAAAACTTCTGCCACCCCCCCCATAGTAAATACAGAAAATGGGGGGGGCATATATGGACCACTGACCACCAGGGGGAATAAATAAAATACATAACCTTCTCTTATCTCTACCAGGGCATTTAGGGCTTTATTAAAGAGAGAAGAGCCTTTTCAGGCTGTTTGCTAAACCGTTGACTCCCAGGCGGACTGTGACACGCCCAAAAGGGGTGTGTTTGTAGACGGATCTGGGTGGTTTGTTCCGGTCGTGGGGGGGGAACACAAACAAACAACATTAAACCCAAAAAAAAGAGGGGGATTCTGTGGGCGCGTATACTCGCGTCCCATGAATGTGCGTCGCAATAAGCACGACAACATTTAAGAGACGTAAAGAAGTTATTTTCGCCATCGATCTTTCCTGATATCTGATAAAGTAAAACTTCTGCCAGAGGGGGAGGGTGCTGGGATGACATGAGAAAAAAACCAGTTTTTTATTGTTACGAGGAGCAGGGTTTACGTCGTCATGACATCCTCTGAAT